CAAAAACGTATTTGCTTATGTGTGTATGTATCTGCATGAGTTTTTGTGAACCATCTTTGTGCAGGTGCGCTTGGAGGCCAGGAGAGCATGTCCATCCCCCTGTCCTGAAGTTACAGGTGGTTGCGAGTTGACTGATATAAGCTGGGAACCAAAACCCAAATCTTCTGGAAGTGCTCTTGGCCCCTGAGCCCTCTGTCCAGCTCTGACCATTTTAAGTTTTTGAAGAATTACCAAAGCAGAGGTGTAAACTGCTTGATCCCTCTTGATCTCTTTCTCTCCCTGACTGGTTCATCTCCCAGACATCACCATTGCCTACAAAGTGCTGGAAGTGTACCCTCAAAGCCGCCAAGTGCTTATAACCTGCGACATCCCCGAGGCACCCCGGCCCATCACTTACTCCCTCATAGCTAGCCGAGGTCTCCTGGTGACAAAGAGGGTCGTGTACGACTACAAGCCAGTCTCCTTCAAAATCAACATCACACTCAAGTCCAGCCCAGACCTGCTCACGTACTCCTGCCAAGCAGCCTCTCACTCGGGTACCTATGGGCCCAGCACCAGGCTGCAGATGTACTGGGAGCTGTGGGCCAGTGAGTACAAGGGTGCGGGCTGGTGAGGCTGGTGGGATGTGGATCCATGGAGGGGTGGGGAGAGAGGAGGAGGGCAGCAGAGTGGGGACAGAGGGCAGACTGCCTGCCTCCAAGGCTGCGCCCAGTCCATGGTGACCAGAGGACAGAGTCTCCTGGCAGGGGCCAGAAGGTTCAGTGGGCTCTGACGTGGGGCTGGTAATCAAGGCATCGCTGTTAATGATCTCGTCCACACTCACGGGGAGGCAGTCAGGTTCCCCACTGCCACTGTGGAAGTCAAAGTTCTCTGAGGTTGAGGGCGTTGCTTAGACAACCTGTAAGTGACCACATCTGCTTTCATCTCCCCCGCCACCCACTCCAGACCCTCTTCCTTCCCTCTCCACCCCAGCCGTCACTCCCTGTTAATAGGAACAAGGAAGTATTGCTTGCCTCCATGAGTCCAGCATCCTGACCCCCTAAAAACACCAAGACAAAGCCTAAAAGGGGGTGCACAGGGTCTGAAGCCCAGCATGTGGAAGGCTGGGATCTCCTTGTGAGCTGGCTGTGGGATCTTGAACAAGTCAATGTCTGGGCCTCAGTTGCTTTGCCTGGGAAGCAAGATGATATAACAGGGCACCCCGGGAGGCTTGGAAAGGCACAAGGGAGGTTGCCTTCTGCCCTGATGAGGCTGAGACCAGGCATGGGGCAGCTAGCTCCTGGTCAGTAGGGATGCTCAGTGCATCAGGCCGAAGACTCCAGCACCTCCATTCTTCTAAGCGGTGGCTCTTGTCCTGAGTCTAGACTGTCACCCTGCTCCTCAGCACTTACCTTTAATCTCTAGGCTTGGGTGTGTCAGGCTGGTTAGCACCCACTCACTGGGCTACACATCCCTACCTTAGCTTAAAGGTTTATTTTTTTTTACGTGTATGAGGGTTTTGTTTCTATGTGTGTGCTCCACATATGTGTAGTGGAGTCCAGATGAGGATGTCAGAGCCCCTGGAACTGGAGTTACAGGTGGTTGTAGCCACCATATGGGAGCTGGGAACCAAACTGGGGTCCTTTGAGAGCAGCAAGTACTTTTTTTTTTTTTTTTTTTTTTTTGAGGTTTCTCTGTGTAGTTTTGGTGCCTGTCCTGGATCTTGGTCTATAGACCAGGCTGGCCTCGAACTCAGAGATCCACCTGGCTCTGCCTCCTGAGTGCTGGGATTAAAGGTATGAGCCACCATTACCCGGCACACATCAAGTACTTTTTTTCTTTTCTTTTTTTTTTTTTTTTTAATGCAGGGTTTCTCTGTGTATCCCTGGCTGTCCTGGAACTTGCTCTGTAGACCCAGCCTGCAATAAGCACTCTTTTGTTTCTTTCTCTCTCTCTCTCTTTCTTTCTTTTTTTGTGGTAAGCATTCTTAACTGCTGAACTATCTCTCTGAGCCTCCTTTTCCATATTGATTTATTTATTATTTTCTGCCTAGATTCCTGAGGGCTAGGATTTCAGGCACGTGCTGCTGTGTCCAGCCAAGTCACTATTTAGGAACTTAGAAAGCAGTCTGCTCAGTGTTAGCTTGATGATGTGGAACCTAGCTCTTGTGAGTCCATTTTTATTTTTAGCCTGGTCCCTGTAAGAGCTTAGTCCAAAACAATTTTTAAAATTACTCAATGATGTCAGGCAGTGGTGGTGTGCACCTTTAATCCCAGCACTCAGGAGGCAGAGGCAGGTGGATCTCTGAATTCGAGGCCAGCCTGGGCTACAGAGTGAATTCTAAGACAGCCAGGGCTACACGAAGAAACCCTGTCTTGAAAAACCAAAAAGAAAAAAAAAAGAAAGAAAGAAAGACAGAAAAAATTCCTTTTTGTTGTTCTCAAGACAGGGTTTCTCTCTATAGACCAAGCTGGCTTTGAACTCACAGATTTCTGCCTGCCTCTGCCTCCTGAGTGCTGGGATTAAAGGCATGTGCCACCACCGCCTGGCTCAAAAAAGAATTTTTAAAAATACATTTTAAAGAACATTTTAAAAATGGAATTGTATAGTGTATACTACAAGCAGACTAGATGCTAGTCAAGCTGTGCAGAGAGCAGTCTGGCAGGCTGCCTGGGGGAGGTGGCAGTCACAGTGGAGTCTCTGGGGTCATTTGACATAGAAGGAGGAGAATGCATTGGGAGTGTGAAAAGCTCCTCCATCTCACCTGCACTGCCCTCTCCCACCCTGACAGAGCCCTTGTCCCAGCTGCAGGCTGACTTCACCCTGTACGATGGGGACTCAGGCCCCACTGTGGAGCTGTCCTGCCTGGCATCCTCAGGCAGTCCACCCATCGTCTACAGCTTGGTTGGGAATGATGGGCGTGTACACGCACAGCAGAGGCCACTCCATGGGAAGCCGGCCAACTTCTCCATCCCACTATCCCAGATGTCGGGCTGGTTCCACTGCGAAGCTGCGAACAGCGTCAGTGTCGACAGCAGCGCCCGAGTTCTGCTGCCCCCAGGTGAGAAGGCCCTTCCAGGCCTGGAGTGGGGCCTACAGCGTGTCCAGGAAGGTGGTCAGGGCTGGGGAACAGCTGGACCTGCACTGCCCAGGGCAGGATGGGCCTGAGGAAGCCGCGTGCCTCCCTTGCCCCTTGCCTAGCCAAGGCCAACCCAGGCTCCTTACCACCCTACAGGGGAGCTGCCCGTGACAGCCACCTGCATGCTGGCTGGCAGCCTGGTCTCCATTGCAGCTATTAGTTTCGGGATGCTGAGGTCAACCAGGTAATCATGGGCGCTTGATGTGGGGCGAGTGGCCGACCACCTCTGTGACCAGCCAGGGTCCCCAGGGGGAACAGCAGGTTAGTCTTGTGAGACTGGTTGTCATTGAGGCACAACATGTGCCCAACCTGAAGCTGCTTATTAAAGCCAAAAGCCTACAGTGTCTAGCATGTTCCTTACACACCCCACCCTAACCAGGGCTCTCAGCTGACATCTGGTGGGGGACTTCCCTATGGGTTTCATGGGGCCTCCAGGAACCAGGGTGGTCCAGGCGCTTCTGGCCTCCACAGCCCTCCACAGTGGTCCCACCAGCCAGCCTTTTCTGCAGAGGTGAGGCCTCCCAGGTTCCCCTCTCCAAGCCTTCACATCTCTCACATGTACAGTGGCCAGGGCCTATGTGTGGTCTGGCTCCAGGCACCACAGATCTCTGAGCACCAGCTACTGGCCTTTGGGTGGTGGCCACTTCCGCCTTCTTGAATATCTCCGCTTGGCCCTCCTCCCAAGACTATCCAGTGGCCAGACTCTTGGGAGAGCATGTCGCTCTCTGAGACTCATTGTTTTCCCCTATAAAATGGGGTACAGAGGCCTAGCTCCTGCTGACCGTGTGACCAGGGACCAGCCAGTAACCTCTCGGTGACTTGGTGTGTTTAGTAGCATGAGTAAGATCACTGATGCTCTTGAAACCATAAGAGTGGGTGAGTCTGCCTGACCTGGACTGTAACTCCCTTGTCATCAGGTCGTGACCAGAAGACAGAGCCCAGGCTTTCCTGCCTGCCCTATACAAGAACCCATCACTGGAGCGAAAAAGAGCTGGGGGAGGGGGGTGGGGGCAGAAAGGTTATGTGTGTGCAGATCACGGTACCAAAAGTAGTACACCCCAAGAAGTCTGGAGCATTAGTGTGTATAAGGCCCAAAGAAATAAAATTGTGTGGGAGTCCCGCAGCGTGAGTGGTTGTTGGCGGCCTGAGTAACTCAGTGGCTGTGCTTGCTCACTGGTGCACTGGAGCCCAGCTTCTTAAACTTCTGGTCACGACCCCATTGAGGTTGCATAACTGAAGAGGGGGGGGTCATCAACAATTTGGCAATAGTGAGAAGTTTCTGTGTGTGGTGGCTCATACCTGTAACCCCAGAATTTGGGAGGTAGAGGCAGGAGGATCAGATCAGTCTTAGTACAGGAGTCTGGGTCTCAAAGAAACAAATCAATAAAAACAAAAATTGAGGTGTCAGCTGAGTGTAGTAGTGCACACCTTTGCTCCCAGCACTTGGGAAGCAGAAGCAGGAAGATCCCTGTAAGTTAGCGGCCAGCCTGGTCTACATAGTGAGTTCTAAGACAGCCAGGCTGCATAGTGAGACTCTGTCTCAAAATAAAATAACAACAAAGTCTAAAAAGGGGCCCGGGAGATGGGTAAGGGTGCTTGCTGCCAGGCCTGGCAGCCTGGGTTCAATGCTGGAAGGAGGGCACAGGCTCCAAGATGCCCTCTCTAGGACATGTGTCATGACACATGTGCCCCCCACTCCAGGCACAAAACAATTAAATAAATGTAACGAAAGAAGTTTTGTTTATTTGCTTGTTTTTCCAGACAGGGTTTCTCTATATAACAGTCCTGGCTGTCCTGGAACTCGCTCTGTAGCCCAGGCTGGCCTCGAACTCAGAGATCCACCTGCCTCTGCCTCTCAAGAGCTGGGATCAAAGGCGTGCGCCACCACCACCCAGCTAAGTCTAATTATTTTTTAATCTAGAAGTGAAGGAAGGAGGTCAGGAGAGTCCTGCTAGCAGGACCCCCTCAGCAAACACTCACGGTGTATGTGTGTATGTGTGTGTGTGTGTGTGTGTGTGTGTGTGTGTGTGTGTGTGTATGCAGATTTTAGGAGTTAGATAGTAAGAGTGGCCCTGTGCTCACCAGCAGCTTGTCAGTCTCTGTGTGAGTGTGGGCAGGGTGGGGGTAGACGGTTAAAGGGCCCAGCCCCTCTTGCGCCCACTCCTGTCTTCCCCCTCCAGTGCACCCCTTCTGGTGGGCCAGGTTTCTGCCTCAACTTCCCTTACTGTCCAGCCCCCCTCATTATTCCTTCCCACTGAAGTGACCACAGTAGTGTCATCTTGTCCTGACTCGTTTTGTGTCTGCTAGTCACCTCTCAGCCCTCTGCATGCCTCAACAGCCATGTCTGCCTTGGCAATACATTTGTGTTGTCCATGTAAGGCTGTCTGGAGGCCTCTGGGCAGTCAGTTCAGCCCCTGGGTTGGCACACAACCCTTCACAGAGTAAGCACCTGGTTCCCTTTCTAAATGTTATTTTTTTGGGCGGGAAGGGCAGCTGGGTTCTCTGAACTAATGATCTTATTTAATTTTTAAAATTACATTTGTGTGTGTGTGCTTGTGTGTTTTGAGACAGGATCTCAGACAGCTCAGGCTGGTCATGAACTCCTTATTCTCCTGCCCTCTTCCTCCCCTTCCTGAGACCATCACTGTGTGGTTTGCCCTGCATGATCTTGACATCTAGAAATGTACAGACACCCTGTCCTTCGGAGCCTTTTCCCTGGAAGGTCCAAGAGGCATGGGTAAAGGGGTTGTCCTCCACCCCATCCCAGGCCTAGCTCCGGAGGACCGAGTACCCAGATTGGTGGGGCCGAGTACCCAGATTGGTGGGGCCACACCTAATCCTATTCTTGTCCCGAGGTTAGAACCCAGGGGACTCTGATGTGCTAGGCAAGAACTTAAGCCCCAGTCCTTCGATCTGGAGCACAGTGGTGAGCTCTGGACATTTATGAGCCTAGGTTCTGGGTTGGTGGGATTCAGGTGTCTTCTGGAGAGGACCAGAAGCCAGGGCACTGTGTGGGTGTAAGGTGGGGGTCACCAAGAGTTTCTCTTCCTGGGGACTCTCTGAACCTTTCTGGTTGAGCTTAGCAGGACAGACCTCCCAGGGGTGAGCTTTTCCTCCCTTCTGCCCCACCCTGGCGCCGCAGGCGCAGCTCCAAGTTCCTGCACCTGCCACCACCACCGCAGGCACGGAGGGGCACTCTGCAGCGAGTCCCCGGCGGCTGGCCACGCCCTCGATCGGCGGCTGGCCACGCCCTCAATCGCCGGCTGGCCACGCCCCTGAGGCCAGAACGGGCGGGGCGGTCCGGCTGGTTCTCGGCCATCCGCGGCTCGGCGGCGACGGCGACATGGAGAGCGGGGCCTACGGCGCGGCCAACGCGGGCGGCTCCTTCGACCTGAGGCGCTTCGTGTCGCAGCCTCAGGTGGTGACGCGCCTCGTGAGCATGGTGAGTCGGCCAGAGAGGACCCGGGGCCGCGCGTCCTGGTCGTCAGGCCCCGTGGACCGCCGGCTTCCGAGCACGACAGGTGGCTGCGGCCGCAGGTCCCAGGCCTGGCGGAGAGCGCGGGGCCCCGCAGCCCTCCGCGTCTGTGTCCCCTCCAGGCCGTGCGTCCTGTCGCCTATCCCACCGCGTGGCTCCGGATCTTGTCTCAGCCACTCGGGCCCGGGCCCCGCCGCACCCTCAACCACCCGTCCCGGCCACCCCGGTGCGGGATGTCCCCGAGGTGCTCTGGGGTGGGGGGGCAGGCCCGTCGCCTTGCTGGCAGGAGGTGGGGCTTCGGGGCCACGCCACAGCAGGTGGCCTGCACGCCGCGGTTCCCAGCGTGGGGAATTCACCTGGAAGGGACTTTCTGAGGCCACGTGGGGTGCAAGGAGGGGGGTGGCCTGGCGTCCAGAAGTAGGATTTCCTTCCCGCTCAGAGGCTAGCAACAGGTCTGCTAACCCACCCAGAATGTACTCCCTCCCCAGACGCCGGGCGAGCCCTCTAGTACCAGGCGCATATGGCGGGTGTCCATACCTTGGGACGAAAACTCTGAAAGCTGAGGCTTTAGCTGCGGGATTGAGGGTGGGCCTACTGCTCCCAGGGGATCTGGGCCTGGAATCTTGGAGGTGCCGTGGCTCCCCGAGCCTCTCAGCCTAGCGGTGGAGTCTAGTAGACTCCGTCCCGGGTTGTACTCTGTCAGTCAGGCTGGCAGTGCCAGGAGTCCTGACCCAGACTCAGCGCCCAGTCCGGAGTTCCGGCTTCATCTCCAGCTGGAGGCGGGGCTTGTGACTTTCAGTTCCACAGCCCGATAGAGTGTTCCGGGAGAATCGGTTTGTTCTGGCCCTAGGAGTCTGGAGGCAGCCAGGTGCCCAGACTCAGCTCCTTCTGCCGTGTTGAGGTGGGCTTGGCAGTGGCCCTGAGGTGTGAGGAGGCGAAATGACTAGGGCGATTGCAAAAGGGCTGTTTTCTGAACTGGAAAGTTTCTGCTGGTGAGTTTCCCACCTCCGTCCTGGCTCCTGTGAGGGGTCTGAGCCTGGCCCACAGACCTCTGGATCTGACCACCCCAAGAACCTTGTTCTGAGGAGAACAAGTGTGGGGCTGGAATCTAGGCTGTAGCTCTCTGGAGGGGAGCAGCCAGCGTGCCAAAGAAGCTGGTAGGGAGAGGGCTGGCCAGCCGGGGAGTCTTGGAGGGGCCAGGGCTGCTGTTAAAGGGTGTTCTGGAAGATGCTGGTTGATGCTGTAGAATTGACTTGGGACAGGGTGTTGGGGTGAGGGTTGGATGAAACTCTTGAGTTTCGCCACCGTGATTTTGTGGCCCATCTTGTCTAAAGCTCTTTCAAATGGGATGTGGTGGTTCACGCCTGTAATCTCAGCACTGAGGAGGTTGAGACAGGAGGATTGCCATAGGCTTCAGGCCAGCCGGAGCCAGATCCTGTCTTTTTTGTGTATGAGTGTTTGCCTGTGTATATGAAGGTGCACCTAGTGCATGCTTGGTATCCACAGATGTCAGCAGACAGTTATCCAGCCCCCTGATAACCTGTAACTGGAGTTACAGGAAGTAATGAGCCACCATGCGGGTGCTGGGAACCAGATCCAGATCCTCTGCAAGAGCAGTGACTGCTCTTAACGATGAAACAGCCAAGAAGGAGCAAGTGTGGTGCACCCGTTAACCCCAGCACTCCACTCTGGAGGCAGAGGCCGGTTCTCTGAGTTCCGGGATGGCCAGGGCTACACAGTGAGACTCTCTCTCTCAAACACAAAAACAACCAATCGTGCACCTGCCCAGCATGTCTGAGGCTCTAGGTTCAAATTGCCAGCAATGAGGCTGGGACAGGGTTGGGGGAGCCCCAAGCAAGCATGGTAGTACATGATTGTAATCCCAGCATTTGGGAGGTGGAGGCAGAAGGATCAGGAGTCAAGATCATCCTAGGTTATACAGAGTCCAGCCTGGACTAAAGGTGACCCCTTTATCCAAAACAAACAAACAACAACAAAACAAAAACTCAACCCAACCCAACCAACCAAAAACAGCCAGGCGGTGGTGGCACACGCCCTTAATCCCAGCACTCAGGAGGCAGAGACAGGCAGATCTCTGAGTTCAAGGCCAGCCTGGTCTACAGAGCGAGATCCAGGACAGTCAGTAAAACTACACGGAGAAACCCTGTCTCGAAAAAAACAAAACAAACAAAAAACTCAACGCAAATCTCATTTGCTAATGGAGATGAGCAGATTATTCTGTCTTTTGTCACAAGCCTAACTGAGATGATACCTGTAGTCAGACAGCTGGGGATAGCCCTTTCCCAAATAACAGCCCAGTCTGTCCTCTGGCCCCTGGTGGTGAAGAATTGATGATACCCTGGCCACAGCCTGCCCCTCACCTCACTCCCAGGAGTCCAGAAGGGGTTGACATACCAGTCTCAGAACGAGGCATCAGAAGAGAAAGAGACATTTGAGGCCCTGCTAGGATCCTCATCTCTAGGCCCCAAGAGGGGTCTGTACAGGATCTGGCCCACAGGTGTCTGCACCTGCCCATCAACGCTCCTCTCCCCTCAGGTCTTGGCCTTGATCGTGTTCTCCTGCATCTTCGGCGAGGGCTACAGCAACACTCATAAATCTGACCAGTTACACTGTGTGTTTAACCAGAATGAGGATGCGTGCCGATACGGCAGTGCCATCGGGGTGCTGGCCTTTCTGGCCTCAGCCTTCTTCCTGGTGGTCGATGCCTTTTTCTCCCAGATAAGCAATGCTACCGACCGCAAGTACCTGGTCATTGGTGACCTGCTCTTCTCAGGTATGCCTGCGGCACTGGCACACCAGGGCTTCACAATTGAGGCGCCTTGGTGTTGTTGGGAGGGGTTGCTGATAGCAACTCAGGATCAGGAGCCTCACCTGAGGTTTCTCCTAGGTCCCCATATACCCTGGGATGGCACACAAGGCATTCTGACTTCAGAAACTCAAGGGTGTTGGGGCATAAGGGCATGGCATCAGGTTTCTGAACTCAGCCATCCCACCTAGCAGCTGACCCCTAAGCCCCCACTGCCCTCTGCTTCTATCGGTTACACAGCACAAAGCCTTGAGTCCCTCCTGGGCCCCTGGGAATCCCATCCGTCCCTGGGGCCAACTCTTCCCTCCTGTTGTCTCCCCAGCTCTCTGGACTTTCCTGTGGTTCGTTGGTTTCTGCTTCCTGACCAACCAGTGGGCAGTCACCAAATCTGAAGATGTGCTGGTGGGAGAGGACTCAGCACGGGCAGCCATCGCCTTCAGTTTCTTCTCCATCTTTTCCTGGGTAGGTGGGCTGCGGAGGGCAGCTGCAGAGGCTTCGGTGGACATGGAGGTCCCCTTGCCCTGCCCACACCTTGGGTCTTCCCCTGCAGGGTATGCTGGCTTCCCTGGCCTACCAGCGCTACAAGGTTGGAGTGGATGCCTTCATTCAGAACTATGTGGACCCCACCCCAGACCCTAACACAGCCTACGCCTCCTACCCCAGTGCCTCGGTGGAAAACTACCAGCAGCCACCCTTCACCCAGAACGTGGAGACCACTGAAGGCTACCAGCCTCCCCCTGTGTACTGAGCAGCCGGGGTAAAGAGGCAGGGAGAGTGCTTGGGGCCACCCCTCTCCCCTGGACTTCTTTCTGGAGGTTTGCTGCCTGGAACTGCAGTCCCTTGCCTGTTACAGCCAAAGAGCCCATGCCTTTTTGCATCCTAGCTGCAGCCAGACAGAGCACACCTGAAGTGCCTGTGCCCAAAGGGGCTTCACCGCCACCCACCCAAACCTCCTTTTTAGCAAAGGGTTTTCACTAGATCTTTTCTCTCTGCCTATCCCCAGTGCTGGGGATGGCGCCCAGGGCCTTGAATTTGCTTAACCAGCGCTACCACCGAGCTGTGTGTTCTGTTCCTTGTTGCTTTTGATAACCCTGGATCCCGTCCCGGCCAGAGCAGGTGCCTGCTGTATACTGTTTTTGACATACGCCATAGTTTCCCCTCGGCTGGAAGGCGGAGCTCAGCTTGAGGCCACAGGAGCCCCAGCTGTCTTTTTTTCCCTCCAAAGACAAGGTTGGGTGTCCATGCACCTATCTCCTTGGAGTGCCGGGCCTAGGCTCCTCACTTCCTCACTCAGGTTCATTACCCAGCTTCGGCTGGGCTCTATGCTCAGTGCTGTGTTCTGGGGTCACCACTGTGCCAGCTGGCCCCAGGCTGCTTGCCCGACAGCTGTAGAGCAGGCAGAGGGACTGGATATCACTTCCTTCTTGCTCCCGCCCCTGACGGGAGGGAGGAGCTTTGCCTGGAGACAACACCCAGCTTTATGTAAATATTCCCCAGCAGTTCTCTGATGCTAGTGAGGAGGACAGGAACCCCTGCACTGAATGTACTGGGGACTTGGTGGGGACATCCCTGCCCTCATGTTCTGTAGACTAGTTGGGAGATGGAATAAATGTTTTTCTCAGTGTGTTGTCCTTGATGGCGCCTCAGATAGGGGTAGAAATACACTTTGATTAGTATTGTTTTGAGAAAAGGCCTCAAGCTTATATAGCCAAAGATGACCCTCTGACCCTCCCCAAGTACTTGGTTTAAACCCTGGACTTCATGTTAGGCAACTGAGCTACACCCCAGCTTTTCAAAGATAGTATCTAGATAGCCCAGGCTGGCCTCAAAACTTACCCCAGACTCTGAAGCACAGACCTGTGCTGCCATGCTTGGCTAGACCAGAGTCTCTCACTATGTAACCCGGGCAAGCTTCCAACTTAAGGCAATCCTCCTGCCTCCTCCTGGCTCTAGAACTTTTTTTTTTTTTTTTTTTTTTGGAGACAGCGTCTCACTGTGTCGATCTGGCTGTCCTGGAACTCAGAGATCCACCTGGCTCTGCCTCCTGAGTGTTGGGAATAAAGCTGTAAACCGTCATGTCCAGAAGAACGTGTACTTTGAACATGGGGTGGCAGCTCCCCCTAATGGGGTCTCATTCTTCCAACTGCCTTCTACTGCATCTTAAAATAGCTACTGTGTCAGCTTGTAAAGATGAGTTGTCCTGAATAGCTAGCCCAGGTAGCATCCTAGAGCAGGCCTTAGGGGGCTGCCCCTCTCAGTGCCTCCTCCAGAGCAGACATTTGCCATTAGAAGTGAAGGGCACAGTAGGGGAGGTCGAGTCTGGTCCCTCTTGATGCCTCCCTGGGACATGGCATGGAGTGGAGCCATCTCTATCAGGAAGTAGCATGCCCGAGGCAGCTCTTTTGTGCAATGATGAGGCCATCAATAGCGGGTTCTGACAGTTTCCAAATCTGAAGTATAAACAAACTAACAAGGTGCTATATATACCCAGGCTCGGAGCAGGAGGTCTTCCCTCTCGAGCATGTCCTGAGGCTGGGCACAGTGCCAGGGACACACCGACATGTCTTAGACGCAGGTCCTTGGCTTTCAAGAGAGTTGTCACAGCCCACTTTCCAAGGCACATGAGCTGTTTTCTCAACCCAAATTATCAAGTGTCTGTTACAAAACCTGACCTCCCAGTGCCAGCTAGAGACACCATCCCCTCGGCTCTCCCTGCTTTTCCATTTTTGTCCTGAAACCCACCAGACAGGAAGGTGGGTAACTGCTCCCCTTGGGCTGTGGTGGAGAGACCATTACAAAAGAGGGAAGAAATCCCTGCCCCCCCAGGTCATGTGGACTCTGGCTGCAAGATTTGGGGAAACCCAGGTTAAAGAGAAATACGCTCTCAAGTAGCAAACTTTAATATTGTTTACACTATCGCACAAGAAGCAGGCTCTCACTAAGAGTCTTGAGTCACAGGGCTGGGGCTCAGCAGGGCAAGCCCTAGTGCCACTGTGTAAAGATTGGCCCAGGGGGCGGGAGCACATTGTGGGAGTGTAGGTCAGGCTTCCGCACAAAGGGAGGGCTGTGAGGGCTAGAGCCTCAGTAAGGGGCGGGGCTCTGTGAGACTGAAACCCAGCAGCAAAAGCCACCAAGGAGGAAGAAGTCAGCACCAACAATGTCACAACACCATGTGGCTCTGTCCTCACCTCTGGCTGGATGTCAAACCTTAACCACCAGACAAGTGCTGGCTCCAGTCTGGGCTGAAGCATCTCTGCAACCAAGGGAACTAAAAAAGGCTGTGACAAGCAGATGAGCCTGTCCAGGGCACAGTGTCCATTAGGCACGGCAGTTCCAGCCTCTCCTCCGTTCTCTGAGAGTCCAGCTTGGATAGGAGCTGGCAGGCCCCAGGTCCTCTCAGTTGGTAGAGTTGTGCTGTAGGACTTGCTGAGGGGCAAAGAGCTTCCTGACAGCTGAGGCCTCTCCAGGCTGGCCCAGCACCGGACAGTTCTCTTTGTTGTCTGGCCCAGCAGGCTGGACAGAGGACTTCTTAAAGTAGCAAAGGCGGCACACGGAGTGGTACTTGTCGGCTCCACCTATCACCTCCACCTGGTGGACAGGGCCACAGAGGATGTGTGAACGTAGCACTCAGAAGCCCAAGCCCACCCGACTCCATGGACAGAAGTACAAGGAGCTACCTCCTTCTCCTGGCCCAGCCTCTTAGTGTAGGCCGCTTCTCGGAAGCACTCCATGCACACTGCGGTCAGCTTCACCACGCTCTCAGCCAGCGGCACCAGGTTCAAGATGCTGCCGAAAGCCTGCACACAGGACAGCAGGTATGTTTGGTCATTCAGCCAGGCAGCTCCCCTTTCTGCCTGTGTTCGTGTGCATGCGTGCGGAAGCCAGAGCGCAACTGTAGGTGCTCTTCCTCCAGCACTGCCCACCTTGGTTGGTTTTGGTTTTTTTTGGAAACAGGTTTTTTTCACTGGTTTGGAGCTTGCTGTGTAGGCTAGGCTGACTTACAGGTGAGCTGAGATTCACCCGTCTCTGCCTCCCAGTGGTGGGGTAATAAACACACACCAGCTTGCCTGGCATTTTTAAAAAGAGGGTTCTGAGGATCAATCGCAGGTCTGCATGCTTTGCAAGGCAAGCACGTTGTAGCCTGAGCTCTTGCCAGCTTCTCCCTTATACCCTGTGATCAGGATACATCACCCTGATCCCGCTTTTCTGGAGAGCCACACCCTCATGCTCTCGACCCCTGGCCTGGTCAGAGCACTATTCTGAACATACCTACTTCTGGGGACATCTTGTGTACTGTCTCATGCTCAAATCCCCACCTCCCTCTCAGGACCCACTGCCAGGCCTGAGTCACTTTACCTTTCTCTGGAAGGTTCCGTCTAATGCTGCCACGATCACTGTCTTGCCTGCATTGGCCATCATTTCACAGAATTCCACGATGTCAGGGAACTGGGAAAGTTGGTAGAGGAGGAAGTGAGGCAGCTGCCATGGGCAGGGCTTCAGGCAGACGCATCAGCCCCGAGCTGGAGACCAGGCCATGCGACCGTTCCTGTGCAGCACCCACCTGCATGCCCTGGCTACCCAAACCCTTCCCAGGGTGCAGCAGCGTGACGCTACCTAGGGCTTGCCAGCAGACTTCCACACCCAACAGAGACCTCTATAAACAGAGGAGAGGCCAGAACTTCCCCTTACAGTCCTCTGATTGTAATTAATCAATCATGGGTTTCTGCCTTCTAGAACAGCTAGTGAACAAAACTCTGTGCTTAAAGCCCATTTTGAGTGCTGTTCGGGCAGCCTTAGAAGCTAAACACAGCTTCTGTTTAAAACAGACTCTCACAGAGGGCTGGGATGGCTCAGCAGGTAAGCACTTGCTGCCCTTGCAAAGGACCTGGTTCAGGTTGCTGGCACCCACATGGTCACTAACAATCATCTTTCCATGGGCCCCAGTGCCCTCTTCTGGCCTCTATGGGCACTACACACACAGGGTGCACATACATACTTATAGCTATACACTCATGCTCATTAAAAAAAAAAAAAAGGAACTTTGCTGGGCATGGTGACACAGGCCTTTAATACCAGCACTTGAGAAGCAGAGGCAGATAGAGCTCTGTTCGTTCAAGACCAGCCTGGTCTCCAGAACAGTCAGTTTGCCCAGCTGGCTCCTGGCACACCTCTCTCCTGAAACAGCTATAGATGGGCCCTTGCCCTGTCCCCAGCCCCTGATCTTGCTGGCTTCGGTTCTTTCAGGGCCTTTTGTGTTCAGCACACATGTCATGTCCAAGAATGTGTGTGAACGTGTATAGGCCAAGACCAATACTGGGCGTTTTCCTTAATAGTTCTTTACCTTGTATGTCTTTTTCTTGTCTTCTTTTTGAGACAGGGTCTCACTTTGTAGCTCTGGCTGGCTTGGAACTTGCTATGTAGACCAGGCTAGCCTTGAACTCAGAGATCTACTTGCCTCTTCAAGATTAAAGGCATATGCTACCAAGCTTGGCTTTTCCACCTTGTTTTTGAGACAGGGTTCTAGAGCTCAATGATTCAGTGAGGCTGCTGAACAGCGCGCTCCAGGGACCTGCTTGTCTCTGCCTCCCTAATACTAGGATTATGGACACTGGCTATACCCAGTGTTTTACAGGGTGCTAGGGACCAGAGCTCAGGTGCTCATGTGTGCAGAGACGGTGCCTCACTAACCGAATTCTCTCCCCATCCCTTTTGTTTTTTATTTTTTAATTGGTTGTTACTGTATAGCCCAGGCTAGCCTGGGACTCGTCACAATCCCCTGCCTCAGCCTTCTGAATATTGAGTTAATAGGTGCTGCCACTGTGCCTGGTTCTTCAGACCAGGTTTTTTTTTTTAACACATCCCTCCCCCACGCCTTCCTCCTTATTCCCTCCACCTGGAAGTTCCAGTTTTGTCTCCAGAACCTAGAACGCCACAGCCAAAGGGCAGATACTTGGAATGGATGTGATTGGTCCCTGGACCCAGCCATTCCCACAATAGTCACAGCATGTGACATGGCCTGCTCTATAAAAACACATGTATATAATTAGAAGCATCAAGGCTGGGCTGGCCCTCACTCAGAGTCGGGGCACTGGCTGAACATAATCTCCTGGGCCAACATTAGGCCAGGAACCCTAGCCACTGTGGATAATGACCCCTCCCCACTCAATCAGAGCATCAACAAAACTTAGGTACAGTCTATGCCAAAATGAACTAGTGAGGCACCACCCTCCTTCCAGGCCCCTCCCACAACTAAGAGTGCAGGTTCCTGATGTTTCCTGGTCCACAGCAAAGCCAGGCTTCAGCCCTTCTGCCAAAGGACGGAAGGGAGCTTCTCCCCTCTCTGGAGTCCCACTGCTCCATGCCTACTGTGCCCTGTGGCAGGTTTTAGAAGCCACGATGTGGTGCATGCAGGGCATTCCCAGTAGTCTCTGGTTCAAAGATGCTGATGTGGCAAGTTCCTTTCCTAGTGTGTTCCTACTGTGACCTAGGTTGTCATGACTTGTGCCACACAGAAACGAAACACAAAGTTCTGGAGGATGCATAGCTTCTTTTACTCTTGCCAAGAAGCCCGCAGGGCCCTGGGGAATGAACACATGGGAGGCTCCATATCCTCAGCTGTGGCTTCAGGGGCCCTAGACAACCCTCTACCCACTGTCCAAGGCAAGAAAGGGAGGGCCTTTTCTTTTGCAAGGGGGAGATCCTGAATTTTGTAAAGAGCAGGGTCCTACAGGCTGGGGCAGATGGAATAACCGTGTATTTATATAGCGTGCACAACGAACACTCACTGAAGCTGGGCTGGGGGCTGGGACTATAATCCTAGCACTCAGGAGGCTGAGTTCTAATTCAGCCTGGACCACAAAGCAAGGCCTCATCTCAAAAATCAAAGTATCAGGCTGGAGAGATGACTCAGTGGTTAAGAGCACTGCCTGTTCTTCCTGAAGTCCAGAGTTCAAATCCCTCTAACCACATGGTGGCTCATAATGGGTTCTGATGCCCTCTTCTGGCACGCAGGCATATATGCATATAATACATACATAAATAAATAAATCTTAAAAACAAAATTGAAGAATCCACTCAATAAATTATTTTTTCTCAGTCATAAGGTGGGAAACATAGGAATAAATCTCTCCTATAGGTTAGGATGGGGAACAGACTGGGGCAACTGGTAGGCTGGTGCCAGACCTGGGCCTCTAGGAATACCAGAAGGGCATAACTGATAAGCAGGTCAATGCAGCAGGCCCGAGGGGCAGGACTTATACTTGAGGGCATCACAGCCAGAGCTGCCTTACCCTGCCCTGGGGAGCGGGGTGTACAGGGAGCAGGCTGGGGACTACCCCCCCAACGAGCTTGGCTCCTTCCAAAGTAGAGCATGAGAGTAGCAGACAGCCAGAGGGCCAAAGCAAATTCCAGCTTGCAGAGCGTCAGCAAGTGACAAAGAACCTCTAGCCCAAACCCAGGCCACCCAGGGCCACCATTTAGCTTTGTGAGCAAGCCACTAGGAGCCACAGGACAGTGGGAAATTATTTTCTATTGATTGGTTAGTGTCACCAGGCTGCATGCTAGGGACATATATTCCATCTTTATTTGACAACTAAACCATTTAAAACATTTTAAGTTTTGTGTCTATGTGAGGGTATGTGTGTGCGTGCATGCAGATGTCCACACAGACCAGGAGTATCACATCCTCTGAGCTGGAGTCATAAGCAGCCGGAGGTGCCCAACGTGTGTGCTGGGAACCAAATTTGGGTCACCTGCAAAACCAGCAAGTGATCAGCGATGGAGCCTTCTCTCCAGCCCATTTATCTGTCTTAAAATGGTCACTACTACATATGATGTAGGGGTGGGAGGCCTCTCATGTGTACCCTAGCACATGTGTGGGTGGTCAGAGGACAACTCTGGATGTGGTTCTCTACTTTTACCCTTTCGTGGGCTCCAGGGATCAAACTCAGGTCTCCAGGTTTGTGCAGCAAGCTCCTTTACCCACTGAGCAGTCCCATGGCCCTATTTGGGATTATTTAAGAAAATGTCTCACCTTGTGGCTGAGGCTAGCCTTGAACTCCTGATTCTCTTCCTGCCTTAGTCTCTCAAGTACAGGAGACTCTACAGTACCACCTCACCCGCCAACAAATATTTTTGAAAACACCCATGATGTTAAGTTTTGGAGTCTAGTGCACATTTGTTAAGCTTCTGTCCTTGCCCGCCCTCATGGACTAGAGATAACCTTAAAGGCAAAGAATCAAGTGTGGCCAGACCCTTTTTGTTGACAGGCCTTCATGTAGCCCAGGTTAACCTCAAAGTGGTTATATAGCCGAGGATACTTTGGACTGATCCCCACCTCCATGCTAGCACTAGAATTATAGGCATGCTAGCACAGCCCGCTCACATGGTGCTGGGGGTGGAACCCAGGGCCGTGTGCATGCTAGGCAGGTGCTCTGCCAGCTCAGGCACTCAGAGAGGGAATTGAAGACCACAAAAGACAACTCCCACCCCAGTCAGAGGATGCCCTGGAAAAAAAAAAAAAAAAAAAACAGGGATGTAGTTGGCCAGAAAGGACTAACTCAAGATTTTTCAGAAAAATAAAAACCACAGAGACAAACTCCCAAACCAAGGCAAGGCTGGTGTCAAAGGCCTGGAGGCCCAGCCACTACAGAGGTGAAGGAGGAGCTCTCCCACTGAGCTCTATCCCCAGCCTGTTCGGGAAAAGAAATCCTATACGACAACACTATACGGTCAGGGCATTCACACACCAGTGAAGACATGTTAGTCTCCTAACTTCCCCAAAAGATGAAAGAAGGAACTTCTGAACCAGCAGGGACAAGAGGGGTCGGGGGTGTGAGTGTGAGTTATGCTTCAAGCTAACTTACAAACTGCCCTTCATCGATGCCAATGACAGCCACACTCAGGGCCTCCTGGATTACATCCCGCAGCAGGCAGGCCGGCAGTGCATCCATGGTGTTCCTGGGAAGACAAAGGCCAGAGGATGAGCAAGGCCAGCAGCAGGGCATCCCCAGGCCCAAATGCAGGGGAGAGGGTGCTACCGTGATCCAGGAGAGCAACCTGTGGTGTTGCATCAGTTCCTGTGGGAGAGGGATGGGGAATAAAGGGCCTTGCTCACAAAACCAGTTAATACAAGTTACCTCCCTTAACTGAAAATTAATAGCATTTGCTATTAAGCTCAGCAAAGACTCCAAAGTTTTCTCTGGAAATTAAGGTGGGATTTCTATGCTTGTCTTTTTTAAAAAAAGAAATAAATCTCTCCTATGGTTAGAATGGGGAACAGGACTTGGGGGCAGCTAACTGGTCATCAGGCACCTGACCTAGGTTACAGAGTGACTGACTGAGAGTAAGAAGAAAAGGCCATGTCCAAGGAGTCTGGCTGGGTCTCTGAAAACAGGAGGGCAGGGGTTCAAACCTATGGCCTAAAGTGCGTGTGGTAATGCATTCACACCTGTAACTGAAGTGCTCAGAAGCTCAGGAGGCTGAAGCAAGTGAGTTCTAAATCAGCCTAGGCTATGAAATGTTTCAAAAACAAAAAACCCAAACCTCAAAACTAACCCTCTTGGGAATCAGGTATGTATGCTACATAAGCCCTCAGCTACTAAGCCACAACTCCAGCTCAAGGTCTTCAGGGGACACAGTCCCCAGGGTCCACAATACTCTGTGTGGTAATATACTGTGTAGCCTAATCAACTTGCCTGAGGATCAGAGGACAGAGCCAACCACTAGATTAGACATAGAGGTCAGGCAGTGGTGACACACACCCTTAATCCCAGCACTTGAGAGCTCATGCCTTTGCTTGGGAAGCACACACGCCTTTAATCCCAGGAAGAAATATGGCAGGGCCAAGAAAGTCTATAAGGCGCGAGGAAACAGGAACTCACTCTCTTTAGGCTGAGGATTTCGTAGAGGGAAGAACTAGAGGCTGGCTGCTCTGCTTTTCTGATCCTCAGGCAAGTTTATTAGGGTACACAATATATCACCACAACTCGAGCAGCAAAAACTATTTTTATTTCTTTTAAAATTTGAAATAAACCAGGATAACACTGACCTATATCACTGCCATCATAAAATATAATTTAAAATTTTAGGGAGATTCTGGATCGCAGCCTGGTGGTAGAGCTCCTGGTAGGTCATGCCCAGGGTTCTATTGTTGGTGCCAAAAGATAAAGCAAAATAATTCATTTGAGCCGGGCGGTGGTGGCGCACGCCTTTAATCCCAGCACTCGGGAGGCAGAGCCAGGCGGATCTCTGTGAGTTCGAGGCCAGCCTGGACTACCAAGTGAGTTCCAGGAAAGGCGCAAAGCTACACAGAGAAACCCTGTCTCGAAAAACCAAAAAAAAAAAAAAAAAAAAAAAAAAAAAAAAAAAAAAAAAAATTCATTTGAGACAGGGTCTCTCTGGAGACCAGGCTGCCCTCGAACTCACAGAGATCTGCCTACCTCTGTCCACCAAGTGTTGGGATTAAAGGTGCGCACTATAAACACCTGGCAAAGGTTTTTCTTTTTTGGTTTTTCAAGACAGGGTTTGTGTAGCTTTGCGCTTTTCCTGTAGGCAAAGGTTTTTTAAAATTTTAGGCATGTGTGTGTTTTTCCTGCATGGATGTCTATGTATCAGGGGCACATCTGGTACCCTCAGAGGTCAGAAGAGGGCATCGGTTCCCCTGGAACTGGAGTCATTGATAGTTGTGAGCTGCCATGTGGGTGCTGGGTCCTCGGCAAGAGCTCTTAACCACTCAGCCATCTCTCCAGCCCCACAAGAGAGTCCAGCACCTAGGAACGCTATAACATGCCTGTGGATAGCCTAGTGGCAACTGAGACAAGAAGTATCTTGTTCTCAGTGTCCGGAATGGTAGGCGAGCTTGGAAGCCAGGCAGCAGGGTGACCCTCTGGAACCACCCCCTCCATTCATTGCCCCCCACAGATTAAAGGACTCTCTATATTACATGGCTACCTGCTGGCAGAGCTGAGACAAGAGGCCCCTGCTTACGGACCTTGTGGCAGACTGCTTCCCGGCAAGGAAGAACCCACCCAGGCCTCTGAAAGCCAGTTTGGATATGCTCCAGAATGCCATTAAAGGACACTGGGAACCCGGCCTCACTGTCTGCATGGCTTTCTAAGGAGTGGAATGCTGGGCTGGATCCAATCCCTTCCCTCTGTTTCCTTCTGTCTTCTGTCTACCTCACTTTCGAAACAAACTCCGAAAAAACAGTTTACCAAAACACAGACAAGCAGTGTGCAGTGGTAGTCACGCAAATGTCTCGGCCTTAGTTACGACCTCACACTCTTCAAGACTTGGGAAGCTGGGCATGACAGAACTTGTCTATAATCCTAGTAATAAAGAGTGTGTGGCCGGGCGGTGGTGGCGCCCGCCTTTAATCCCAGCACTCGGGAGGCAGAGGCAGGCGGATCTCTGTGGGTTCAAGGCCAGCCTGGTCTACAAAGTGAGCTCCAGGACAGGCTCCAAAAGCTACACAGAGAAACCTTGTCTCGAAAAACAAAACAAAAAAAGAGTGTGTGTGTGTGTGGGGAGGGTGTTAGGGGGTGGATGTGGTGTTGCTCACCTGTAATTCCAGGATAAAGAGGAAGGGTCACAAGTTACAAGGCCCACCTAGGCTACATAATGCGACCATGAATAAACAGGTTGGTCAGCAGTTAAGATTATTTGTTGTTCTTGCACAGGACCTATGGTCCAATTCCTGGCACTCACATGGCGGCTCACAACCAGAAGCAGAGGCAGGTGGATCTCTGTGAGTTTGAGGCTGGCCTGGTCTACAGAGTGAGATCCAGAACAGTCAGAACTACACAGAGAAACTCTGTCTCGAAAAACCAAAAAAAAAAAAAAAAAAAGGCAGGCGTGTTGGTGTACGCCTTTAATCTCAGCATTAGAGAGGCTGAGGCAGAGGCAGATGGATCTCTGTAAGTTCCAGGACAGCCAAGGGCTCTGTAGAGATTCTGCCTCAAAAAAACCAAAACCCAAGAACTCACAAACCTGAATGAAAGAAGATGGAAGCTGAAGACTAATGCTTGATGATGTCCTCTGAGCTCAGGCGCAGACATGCACGCACCCACAAGTCCAAAGTTGTAAAACAAAACAAACAAAACCCAACCAAAGAGCTAACACAGTACTCCTGTATTTTAAATCCCGCCCCCCAGCAGACCAGAGAGAGGACAGGCCCCAAACTGGCTGTGGCCCACCCCAGACACTACGGCCATTCTGTGGCCTCCTCTGCTCTCGGTCCTCCTGGATGCTCACCCATCCTGTGGACAGCGTGATTACACTCGGAAGAAGGAAAGATCTCAGCACAGAGCCTGGTCGGAAGCATGGCTTGAATTCCAGCCCCAATTCCAAGTCCTGGACACTCTGCTTCCCGTTCCGATTCAGAAACCTGCCCTGCTCTCAACCTTGGCCCAGCTTACAGCAACCCTGACCTGCAGCTCCAGTGGTCAGTTCTGGCTCGGGGGTGAGCCCAGGACACTCAGAACACCAATCCCCAAACTTGCCACCAAATCACTTTAGTCAGCTCCTGCCCTTCGGCTGCAAAAGGAAGTGTCCAGTGCTCTGGCGTAACAATTCAGAATGGTGAATGGCAGGGAGCCCACTGAAGAAAAAGTTCTGTGGGGTCAGTCATGACGGGGCGTCGTGCAGCCTCTACCCAAGTGGAACCCAGGCTCTCCTAGCACAGTGACCATCTGGGACAGGCCATTCAGAATTCTGAGCACTCACTCCTGTCCACTAGAGGCCTGTAGCAGCCCATCCCTTCTCCAGTTCTGACAAAGACCCCCCACCCTGGTACATCTGACAGTCTGCCCCATGCCTGAGGGTTTCCACAGGATCAAGGGGGCGGGACTGACCGGTCGTGTGTGGAGAAGCTGCTGCTATAACGCGTGTCTTTGGCATACTTGACGACCAGGCATTTGTTCTGGGCGATCTGGAAGCGCCGGACCCTTCTCATTAGCTCGGTGCTGCAAGAGTTACCAGGGCAGGTGAGACCCGTGGGAAAGGCGGCTCACCGCCACCACCTAGTGGCGGACATCCCAAACCTCACCCGTTTGCCAAGGCTTACCCCCAGCTGTTCTGAACAAACTTTTCTGAATGAACTTTACGAAGCTTTTGAAGAGGCGCCAAAGCGCTTGCTTCTGGACCCCAGAGCCTGGGCCTCACCCTCCGAGCAAGGGACCAAACTCAGGTGACAGCAGACCATTCAAGAACAGTGGGGGTGCCTGGTAGGTGGGGCACCCCTTTAATCCCAGTACTAGGGAAGCAGGGGCAAGCGGATTTCTGTGAGTTCGAGCCTACCCTGGTCTATAGAGCGAGTTCCAGGTCAGTCAGGGCCACATAGAAAGACGCTGAGTCAAAACAACAAGAACAACAAAATACCCAAAAAATAAAACCAAGAATCCCCGAGCAGTGGGGGACTGGAGTCCCAGGTGGGACTTCCAGTGGACGGACCCTCGCCTCAGTGGAAATTGAGTTCCGTGGCTTCAGGCGAGCTTGCATGGGGAATGCATGAGGAAACTCGCGGAAGAGGTGTCCACGCACCGCCCAGGCCCTCGTGGCCACATGGGGTTGCCCTGTGGGCTTCTGGGGATGTGGGCTGGGGGTCTCTATGGTAACCCGATGTGATCCGCCTCAGCAAAGATAGAAGAGTTCCCCGGGAGAAGGGGCTGTGGTTAGGGCGGGAGGGAAGCAGGAATCCGAGAGACAGAATTTGGGCGGGAAGGCGCGTACAGAGGTCAGGCGGAGTCTGCTGCCTAGTCGGGGGCTGAGAAGGAGGGGGAGGCGGGAGAGAAGAGCCAGGGTCTGCAGAGAGGGGGAGGCCCATCCGCCCCGAACACCCATTCATTCATTACCTTTTTCCTGAGAACATGGGCCCGAGGATCACCTACGAGAGAAGTCATCTTAGGGGTCCCTGCTCGCGCACCCCGGGCACCAGCCACCACCCGCCCCCTCGCAGGCCGGACCCCGAACCTGGATCTGCCCCCGGGTCTTGCTGGGGGAGCCGGGCAGCACGGTGGGCAGATTGATGTAACTCATGGTCGCTGTTCAAGCCTCGGTCCCGGGACCTGTGGGTGGTAAACGTCAGCAAGTTTTGGCGCTTTCCTTTAAATAATCCGCGCCGACCAATCGCAAGCCGCAGAATACAGCGAACAGGGCGCACGTGGTCCCGCCCCCTCTTCCCGGATCCTGGAGCAAAAGCTGGAGCGTAGCCTTCCGTGCTAGACCTGACCATGGCTGCCTCTGCGCATTCCGCGAGCGAGACGCCCTGGAAGACCTTGTCTGCAGAGGTAGGTGGGGTGCAGCCGCCCAGAGCCCGGACTGGAATATTAGGAAGACACTAGACCACCCCTTCGGTGCCCACGTGCCAGATTTTCAAGGCTTGAGCGCCAGATTTCTTCATTTTCTCGTTTCAGGGCAGGTTTAGCCTGTTAACCTGGTTTTGAAAACAAGATAGCGAAAATTGAAGTCCAGCAGAACTAAGGAGCTGAGGGTTTGAACCTTATTCTGAGGTTCAGTGTGGGTTTATGAAACTAGATCTGAAAAATGTCAAAGGCTGGGGGTCCCTAGTCGCTAAGCAAGGCAGGCACCTCCAGGGACAGACAGTATTCATTATTTGATTTCAGCTAAAAATTCTTATGGTTCACGCTGAACATGACTAGAAGCAGTCTTTGTACTACGAATTTGTGTTTGGTTACTCGGCCATGGATTATTGCAAGGCTTACCAACGGCATACACAAGGCAGGACAACACATATTGGCGCTGGCTAATTACTATTCCGTTATGATTTCTGGACTGGTCAGCGTGTATTATTTAAACGAGATTCTTTGTTTAGGTCAGGGACAGGCATCTCAGAATCTGTTGAAAGTTAGGGACACTGGAGTTCTCCCCTTTCTCACAACCTGTCAGCCTGGTGACGCCTGTAATCCCGGGCAGAGGCAGGCAAGTCTCTGAGTTGGAGGCCAGTCTGGTCTACAAAGCAAGTTCCAGGAGCACCAAGGCTACACAGAGAAATCCTGTGAAAAACCCCCATTATACGAATGAGGAGACTGAGGTTAGAGGCAGTAGGTAATGCCAGTTGATGGGGTTCAGCCCAGGCCTTTGCGTGATGACACACTATCTTCAAGATTCCCATGATGCTGTTGGCTTAGAGCGTTAGCTGTAATCTATCTCCTCCTTACTTTCTGTGTTACATGTGGGCATTTTATATGTTCCTCTCATGGTGCTGCGCTCTGCTATTGACCTGTATTCCTTCTTTTTACTTCATTTATTTCCAGGCAAGGTCTCACTCTGTAGCCCTGGCTACCCAGGCACTTGCTATGTTCGAGGCTGTTCGCAAAGCTATGTTGCTCCTCTGGCCTCGGCCTCCGCAGTGCTGGGATTGCAGCTGGACGTCACTGCACCCCAGCTGCCTAGCCTCCCCCACACCCCTTGCTTTCCACCTGGCTGGGCAGCATTTGCAAACTGACCTTTGATTTCTCCTTCCTCACTTACCTCTGCCCCTGTGACCCTGTGTCTGCCTGTGATCAATACTGACCTCCCAGGAAAACTGAGTCATACCACTTGATCGGTCACTAATGGCCACGGAGCTGCTTGGCCTCCTGTGGTCTTAGTTTCTGGAGGAATGTGGCCCTCCATTGCCATAACTGAACACCTTTACAGACCTCATCTCTCATTAAGGCTGTTAGCTGGTTAAGGGCATGGCTGCCATTGGGGTGCTCCTTTGCCACAAACCTAATGGCATGTAGTGTTCCACTGAAATACCTAATTGGGGACAGCTAGAGGGTATGGTAGTGGAAGGTACAAGGGCTTGAAGATAGCTGAGTGTATTACAGAGGGTCTTTTCAGGGCAGAGAAACAGAGAAGAACATCTGTCTTGGGGTGGGTGGGCACACCCAGCTGAGAGGGGGCGTCTCACAGAGCCCTGTCTTGCCCGCAGGAACTGGAGAAGCAGTACTCACCTAGCAGGTGGGTCATCCGGATGAAAGCAGAAGAAGTCATCAGCACCTTCGTGCAGACAGGAATCCAGGGTACTGTGGGACTTCTCTGGGGATCCAGTAGCCACTTATGGGGGGGCTGCACCCCTGAGTGCTGAGGGGCACTTCCCTTGTTCCAGCCCCCTCTGCTGGGGCAGGAGGTGGGGATATGGCTGGAGGCAGAAGAAGCTTGGATGAGGTCAAGCTCTGGTGAGACACAGCCTCCCCTCCTGGTTGGCAAGGGCTTCCAGGCTCTAAAGCGGTGGTTCTCAGCTTGTTTGTGGGTCATGGACCCCTTTTGGGGGCTGAGCAACCTTTTCACAGGGGCTGCCTAAGACCATCGGAAATATCAGATATTTACATTACAGTTCATAACAGTAGCAACATTACAGTTATGAAGTAGCAACGAAAATAATTGTATGGTTGGGGGTCACCACAACATGAGGAACTGTATTAAAGGGTCCCAGCATTAGGAAGGTTGAGAATCACCACTCTAAAAGGGCATTTTATGGTTGGCACTGAAATATGAGCTGAAAAGAGGAAAGAACGCAAGATATTGTTGCTATTTTTTTTTAAGTTCATTTTTTTTTGGTATTCAAAACAGGGTTTCTCTATGTAGCAGCCTTGACTGTCCTATAGACCAGGCTGTCCTTGAACTCAGAGATCCTCCTGCCTCAGCATTCCAAGTGCTGGGATTAAAGGCATGCACCACTACTGACCAGCAGTTTTTAATTTGATTGTTTTATTTTATTTTGAGACAAGGTCTTTCTGTGTAGCCTAGGCTGGCCTCTGATTTACTATGTAACCCAGGCTGGCCTCAAACTCATAAACCTCTTGCCTCGGCCCCCTGAGAGCTGGGTTGCAGGTACAGAAAGCAGCTAGGGTGGAGTATGATGGGGGACTCTTGCCCAGCACACACACAGCCCTGGGTTCAATTCTCAGTGAGAGATAAACCTGCCCGGTAGCGCATGCCTGTGATTCTAGCACAGCGAAGAGCAGAGGTTCAGGGTCAGCCTCAGTTATGGAGTGAATGCCAAGCCAGGCTGGGATACAGGAGACAATGACTAGAAAGATTGGAAGGAAGGAAGGGAGGGAGAAAGGAAGGAAGGGAGGGAGGGAAATTAAGCCTTGGTTTCCTTTAAAGCAATCAGAGTTTGGGAACTGTGCATGTGTGGTCTTCCCTCTGCCCCAGAGTGCTGTGGTGCTCTGTGGTAGCTCCAGCCCTTGGTGAGGCATCCGTGCTGAGTGGAAAGCTGCTTTGAGGAGGGAGTCGGGTGTGGAGAGAGCCAGCTGTCCCCTCAGGGGAGGAACTTGAGGCAGCTAGCTGTGCACTCGGGGAACTGGATCCTGGCCTTCTGCCTAGCTGACTGACCAGATCTCTGTGCTAGGGAGTTTCCTCAACAGATAGCCAGAGGGGAGGATCAGGCTTTGGGGCGTTTAATCCACACATTCTGTCTTCCACCTTGTCCCTGAAGTGTGGGTTGGAACTGTTTCTTGGGTTGGGCTTTGAAGGGTCCTCGCTGTGGCCATCTCAGTAAATACGTGGAGATGTGTGGGTTTGGAGCGAGCCCATTTGCCGGTCTTGTCTAGAGGGATTAAAAAAGGCCAGCCCAGAGGGAAGGACGTCAGCAGCCAAAGGCCAGAGTTCAGAGTAGCCGATGCTTGCTCAGAAACCCCTGTGCGCAGCTCTCGAGAAATTCCAGCAGGGCTGTTCTGGTGGTGCAAGCACTCAAGGCAGATCTCTAGCGTGCAAGACCAGTGTGGTCTAGGTTGTGAGTTCAAGGCCAGCCAGGGCTACACAGTGAACCGTGTCCTAGCAGGGCTTGGGTTTCAGCTTTTTTCCCTTAGCCTTCTTCTTTGTGTTTCCCAGGCAAGCACGTTTACCAACCCAGCCAGCCCCCTAGCCCCTTAATGTCTCTTTAGAGACAGAGTTTCTCTGTGTAACAGCCCAGGCTGTCTTGGAACTCCCTTTGTAGACCAAGCTGGTCTCGAACTCACAGAGATCCACCTGCCTCTGCCTCCCGAGTGCTGGGATTAAAGGTGTGCACCGCCGCCGCCGCCGCCGCCCGCCACCGCCACCGCTACCACCGCCACTGCCACCACCAGGCATAGTGTGCATTTGTTTTGTATGTGTATGTGGGTGGGCACGAGTACCACATGTGCATGTAGAGGTCAGAGGGCAATATGCTGGAGTCTGCTCTCCTCCTGCCACATGGGATGAAACAGTTTGTCAGGCTTGACTGGCAGCAGGGGGCTTTTACCTGCTAAGACATCTCCCTGGCCCCACCTTTTTATTTTAAATCAATTGCATTGGCCGGGTGCACACCTATAATCCATCCTCCGTCAGTGGTAATGGGAGCGCCGGGCATCCTCAGCTACTTAGTGAATTAGAGGCCAGCCTAGGCTACATGACACCCAGTCTCAGAAACAAACAAAACCAGATCAAAGCAAACAGGATATTGCATTAAAATGTTGCCCTTAATTATTGAGTTGGTAGAAGTCAATTCTGTCTGTCTGTCTGTCCCCACTTCTTCTTTAGTTTATGTATAACAGGCATGTCCCACTTCCCTGCCAGATGAGGTCAAATTGCCCACCCATCTACTAACCAGAAACCACTTTTCCTCAGTTGCTGAGTTTCTGGACGATCCCAGGGCTTCCTCAGAGCTGCCCATGAGGCTCCGAGGTTTCCTCATTGTGATGAGACAGGAGATGGAAGAAGAGTGTAGACGGATGGGGTTGGGGAAAACTGAAAAACATCCTCCAGCCAACTCAGAGGACCTCCCTGCAAGGGTAGAAGAGAAGGTCCAGCCGTGTGCTGTGAGTTACCTTTGTCTTGTTGAGACAAGAGCCTCACTGCATAGCCTGGCTGGCCTCGAACTCAGAGAGCTCCCTGCCTCTACCTCCCAGATGCTGGGATTAAAGGCATGTGACCATGCCCTGCTTCACAACTATGTTTTTTAAAAAGGTTTCTTTTAATTATGGGGTGGGGGTGTGAAGTCCTTCTGGGAGCTCTGGTTTGCAGAGCTGAGTGGCCGTACTAGGGCTCAGGTGTGCCGCACGCTAAATGAAGTGAAAAATAAAAATAAACCAGAATCCCAGGGCTGGAGAGGTGGCTCAGTGGTTAAGAGCATGTACTGCTCTTGCATAAGACCAGACTTTGGTTCCCAGCCCCCATGTTAGGTGGCACATAGCTGCCTTTAACTCCACTCCAGGGGATCTAGGGCCCTCCTCTGGCTTCCACAGACACCTGCAGAGGTGCACATATACGTATGTAAATAGAAATAAAATAAATCTTAACAAAACAAAACACCAGAGTGCTAGCACTCAAGAGGCCAAAGCAGGAGGTTCAAGGGGCCAGCCTGGGCTACATAGTGAGATACAGACCAGCTTGGGGAAAGGGTCTCAAAAATACAAAGCAAAACAGAGTGTGATATACACTCCAATGATCCTAGCAATTGGAATGTGGAGGCAGGAGGATTGGAAGTTTGAGGCTACCCTCTCAGCTGCCTGGCTCAGGCCTCCACTTCCACTATTAGCCTGCTAACACAGTACTCAGGTTGGTTCTGTGCCATGACTGCTAGAACCTGGGGTTTTGTAGTTGGAAGTTTTTTCCGGTCCTGCCCGGCCTCCTGGTCTGCCTTCCTCCAGTTGTGCCTGGCCCCGTGGTCCCTCAGCCACTTATAAAATAATCACCCAGAGGCTTAGTGTTAATTGTAAATTATATGGCCTATGGCTCAGGCCTCTTGCTAGCCAGCTCTTATAACTTAACCCGTTTCTGTTTATCTTATATATCTTATAGATCTGTGAGCTGACACGTGGCCGTGGCTCACTGGTGCTTTCACGTCTTGCTTCTCCTGGCGGTGCGGGCGTCTCTCTAGACTCCGCCTTTCTCTTCCTGTCTCTCTCGGATTTCCCGTCCGCCTCTAAGCTGCCTTGCCATAGGCCAATGCAACTTTCTTTATTAACCAATGGGAACAACACATATCACAGCAAACAGAAGACTTCCCCCGGCAGGGTTTTGTCTGTAAGTGTTTTGACACTTTGGGTTATGGATAATTAAAGTCCAGTTCTGGCTTTGTTAGGAGGTTTATGCTGGGGCGTCTTGCTAAAGCCCTCCTGTGTTCCTACCTGAGAGTTCAGAGCCTGGAGGCTGGGTGGTACCTACACTCTGCGGGTGGCTGTACACCACCTGACCTTTGTGTCCCTGCTGCCCACTGTAGGTGAACTTTCTTTGTCCTGCCAGCCAGCTCCTAAATAACCACACAGAGACTTATTAATTATAAGTGCTCAGACAATCGCTCAGGCTTGTTACTGACTAGCTCTTACAACTTAAATTAACTCATTTCTATCTACATTCCACCACGTGGCAGTACCTTTTTTCAGAATGGCATGATCATCTGCCTCCTCTGTGTCTGGCTGGAGACTCCGCCCTTCTTTATCCCCATGCTCTCTTTCTGTCCTCAAGTCCCACCTAACCTCTACCTGCCTAGCTATTGGCCAGTTAGCCCTTTATTCAACCACTGAGAACAACAAATATTCAGTGTACAAAAAGATCGTTGCACAGAAGTCCACTGAGCAACGTCCCAGCCAGAGGCCTTTTCTTTCTTTTTTCTTTTCTTGTCTTTTTTTGTTTGTTTGTTTGTTTGTTTTCCAGACAGGGTTTCTCTGTATAGCCCTGGCTGTTCTGGAACTTGCTCTATAGACCAGGCTGACTTTGAACTCACAGAGATTTGCCTGCCTCTCCCTGCCAAGTGCTGAGAATAAAGGTGTGTGCCACCACCGCCTGGCCAGGGGCAGTTTCTTGGTCAGTGGTGTTTTGAATGTCTGGGATTCCTATGTGCCTACCCCAGTCACCTACAGTGGCTTTGTTTCTTTTGCTCTTCAACTGAGCACAAAAGTGTGGTTTTAGGGCTGGAGAGATGGCTCAGAGGTTAAGAGCACTGACTGCTCTTCCAGAGGTCCTGAGTTCAACTCCCAGCAACCACATGGTGGCTCACAACCATCTGTAATGAGATCTGGTGCCCTCTTCTGGTCATACATGCTGTATACAAAATAAATAAATAAATCTTTAAAAAAAAAAAAAAACAAAAGTGTGGTTTTAAGCCAGGCTGTGGTGGTATTTACAGCTTTAATCCCAGGCGGCTCTCCAGGAGCACCAAGTAAGTCTAATCCAGTCAGGCAAGCTGTTAGGACTCTTAATGAAATCAATAGTTTTTGATTGACTCCTGTGCTGATGACCCAGAGGCACACACAGCTCACTTGTTAGAAGCTCCTGTGGAGGACACTGGCAGTACCCTCCTACTGACAAGCATGTCCACCCTTTGACCCAGAAGTTACACTTCCTGTGGGTGCTTATTCCCAGACAGGGTTTCTCTATGTAGTTTTGGTTCCTGTCCTGGATCTCGCTCTGTAGACCAGGCTGGCCTTGAACTCACAGAGATCCGCCTGCCTCTGCCTCCCGAGTGCTGGGATTAAAGGCGTGTGCCACCACCACCAGGCATAAAATAATCTCTTTTAAAAGGCACTGTCTTAGATTCAGATGTCCCTGTCCCTAAATGGATGGTCTCAAGTGTGGGAGTCCATCTCTGACCTGGCAGAGGGTTCTTGGGGGGAGGAATGAGGAAGTATTAGATAGAAATATAGACAGAGGCGGAGAGAAGGGCTGGGTCAATAAACCAGCCACCTTGAGGTTTATTCCAAAGGGCTTTTTATACAGTGCCAAGAGGTGAGGCAAAAGGCCTCCCCCTTTCAAGATCAACGTACAACTACAGCCAAGTGTGGACCCTTCAAAACACCTGGTAACCACGCCCATGCCAAATCATCCCATTATGCAGCCCTGCTGGGTAAAGCGAGCTCAGAGTCTCTGACCTTGAGTAAGGTCTTACTAGGAAGCCTCTGTGGGCCCCCACACTCAAGATTACCAATTTCAGGTTGGCAAGATGGGAGCGTGGCAAACTTTTTTCCCCCCTTTGCTTTTCGAGACAGGGTTTCTCTGTGTAACAGTCCTGACTGTCCTGGAACTCGCTCTGTAGACCAGACTAGCCTCGAACTCACAGAGATCCACCTGCCTCTGCCTCCCGAGTGCTGGGATTAAAGGCGTGCGCCGCCACCACCGCCACCACCACCACCCGGCTCCATATACCTTTTTTGAGACCCTGCCTCAAAAAATAATACAAGGAGCCAGGCATGGTGGTGCACACCTTTAATCCCAGCATGGGGAAGCAGAGGCAAACAGATTTCTTTGTGAGTTCAAGGCCAGCCTGGTCTACAGAGTGAGTTCCAGGACAGCCAGGGCTATGTAGAGATATCCTTTCTCAAAAAACAAATTAAATACATATAAAAATAATATAGCCGGGCGGTGGTGGCGCACGCCTTTAATCCCAGCACTCGGGAGGCAGAGCCAGGTGGATCTCTGTGAGTTCAAGGCCAGCCTGGGCTACCAAGTGAGTCCCAGGAAAGGCGCAAAGCTACACAGAGAAACCCTGTCTCGAAAAACCAAAAAATAAAATTAAATTAAAATAATATAAAAATAGACAAAAAAATAAACAAATAGAAACAAAGCATGGCTGGGTTGCTGGGTCAGTTGATGAAGTGCTTGCTGCTCAGATGTGAGGACCTGAGTTCAGACTTGGTGGCAATCATACCCTCACCGTCACACACACAAGATCTGTAAATTGCCCTCTGATGATCTGAGTTCAATCCCCAGTACCCATGGTGAAAGGAGAGAATTGATTCCTACAAGTAGTCCTCTGACCTCCACAAGCATACTGTGACACGTTCACACCTTAATACATATGCATGCCACACCGAATGAACAGATAAAAGTGTAATTTAAAAATACAAGTAAAAATAGATTGCTTTTCCACAGGCTTAGCTAAGGCGTGCGTCTGGTGGTATGTGTGAGAAGAATGCAGTGAAACTGTGCCTGCCACAGAGCTGCTGGGGCCACAGGTCTGCCGATATCAGGGCTGGGGAACCTCCTGCCGGGAGCTGCCTCAGCTGACCATTTATCACCGCTGCCTACAACTTGCTGTTCCGGGCTTGACTGACAACTTGTCTGCATCTGCAGCCACCAGGAAAGCCCGGGCCACCAGGAGAAACCAGCTGGATGTCCCCTATGGAGATTGCGAAGGGGAAAAAATGGACATCTACTTTCCTGATGAGGACTCCAAGGGTGAGATGAGCAGGACTCGTGGTCCCCGCAGAAGCAGCCAGGCGTCTGGCTCACCAGTACCCCCTGCCTTTTGTTACAGCTTTCCCCCTCTTCCTGTTCTTCCATGGAGGATACTGGCAGAGTGGAAGGTGAGTAGGGATGCGGGTGACTGAAGAAGAGCAGGAGTCACCTCTCCTCAGATTGGCGTTCCCAAGCTGCCGTGACACATTACCACGAGGTCCAGTCTGCAAGCAGAGAGATGTGACCTCTCTCTTCCTCTTCCTGTGGGGCAGGAAGTCAGAATCAAGGTGCTCCAGGGACAGCCTGGAGGTGCTAGGTGAGGTGCTCAGCTTCTGGCTTTGGCCTCCACGTGGTCATTGATGACTGTCCCAGAGCTCCCTCTCCTTATAAAGACATCATCCTAGGGTTGGACACATGGCTCAGGGGTTAAGCACACTTACTGCTCTTCCCGGAGACCTACAGCTCCAGGGGACCTGATGTCCTCTTCTGGCCTCCACAGGAACTGCACCTATGTGCACAGATACACGCACATACATTAAAAAAAAGTAATAAATCTTTTTTGGAGGGAGGGGGCAGTTCAAGACAGGATTTCTCTGTGTATACCTGGCTGTCCTAGAACTCACTCTGTAGACCAGGTTGGTCTTAGACTCCAAGACCCACCTGCCTCTGCCTCTCAAGTGCTGGGATTAAAGGTGTGTGCCACCACTGCCTGGCAATGAATCTTTTTTAAAAAAGGCACTGTCTTAGATGTAGATGTCCCTGTCCCTAATTAGATGATCTCAAGATTATCAATTTCAAGTTGGCAGGTTGGCTCAGTGGGTAAAGGTGCTTGCCACGCAAGCCTGGCAGCCTGAGTTCAGTCCCTGGAATCCACATAAAGGTGGAAGAGAGAACCAACTCCACAGAGTTGTCCTCTGACCTCCACGTGTGCTGTGACGGGTGCACCACCCAACATATACATCGTGCATACTGTGTTTTTATTTGTGTATGAGTGTTTGTGTGCATGTATGTATATGTACCACGTGCATGCAGTGCCCAAGGAGGCCAGAAGAGGGCATCAGATCTCCTGAACTGGAGCTATAGGTGGTTGTAAACTGTCATGTGGGTGCTGGACACTGAACCTAGGTCCTCTCCAAGAGCAGCCGGTGCTCTTCACCACTGATCCATCTCTCCAGCCCACCAAGATTATCACTTCTGTCTGTAGAGATTCTTCATCCATGTAAGATCACATCCTGAGCTCTTGGGTGCAAGATTTGGACATATATTTTCAGGAAATAGAATCCAAGACTCTACATGCACTGAAAATTGTGTTTGACCAACTTGCTTGTCAAAGTAATGTCAGCGTGACCAGCTATACAGGCTTGTTTGGGACCAAGAGGACATGGAATGTTCAGTGCTTTGGAAAATAAGAATGGGAAAGCTGAGGCAGGAGGATGACTGCAAGTTTGAGGCCAGCCTTGTCTCAGAAGACACAAAGCAAGAACTTGAGATATAGCTAGGTCAGTAGAAAGCCTGTGGTGTGCACTAAGCCCTGTGTTCCACTGCCAGCACTGAATCGAACTGAGTGTGATGGTGTATACCTGTGATCCCAGCGAGAGGAGGTGGACAACACGGTCAGAAGTTCCGGGTTATCCTCAGCTATGTAGGGAGTTTGAGCCAGCCTGGGATACTTGAAATGGGGAGTACATGTTTACACACGCATACTGTATGCACACAGTTGATGTCCCTGAGTTGGGAAGGAGGGTGCTTAGCATCTTGGAGGACAATGCCTGTCATTGGATCTATCCCCCTCCAGCATGCTCGTCTTTTTTGAGCTTATTCATCCACTACATTTCATTTAAAACTTTCTACACTTTTAATCTTCAGCTCTCACGACTTGCTAAGAGAGGGAACATGACTGTCTCTATTTTCCAACGGAGGGAGCGAGCCTGGAGGTGAAAGTCCCCAAGCTCTTGTGGTTATCGTGACGGAGTGAGGGCAGCCTATTCTTTTCTCTCGGCACACAGTGTCCTGTGTGCGTGGGATATCTGCCATGTGGTGTGTCTGGGACCTTAGGGAAACAGCATCATGGTCAAGATGCCTCCAGTGGTCACTTCATCTTTTTCTGTTGTTGGGGGTTTTTGAGACTGGATCTCACATAACCGAGGCTAGCCTCAGACTCACTAAGTAGCTGAGTATGACCTTGGACTCCTGATCCTCCTGCCTCTCCTTCCCAAATGTGGCATTACAAGCTCCTTGACATATGATGTGTGTGAGTGTTTTGCCTGCATGCATGTAAGTGCACCACGGGCACGCTTAGTGCATGCGGAGGTAGAAGAGGAACTGGAGTTACAGATGTTTATGTGCCTCCACATGGGAACTAGGGATCAACCTTTGTCCCGGAAGAGCAGCCAGTGCTCTTAACCCATGAGCTGGCCCTCCAGCCCCCTCTTTGTCTTTCCACAGTAAAGATGACTCGGCCTTCATGGTGAACCCGCTGACAGCACAGGGGGTGGTCGTGGTGATAGCGGCCTACGACATTGCACCCAAAGGTAGCCTCTGAAGATTTGGGGGCCGGAGCTTTGTGAGGGGAGAGCCCCAGATCCTGATCCAGCTTTTTCCTCTACTCAGGCACGCTGGACCGGATGGTGGAGCAGGTGACCCGCAGTGTTGCATTTCTGCAGCGGCGGTATCCGAGCAATGAGTAGGTATCGTTGCTGATGCTCGTGGTGGTCCAAGGGAGGGGTAGGTCTGTGGAGCCAGAAGCAGACTGGGACTCCTGCTGCCTTAGGGCCGTGGATATAACCCTGCTCTCTGTCTGACCCAGGGGAATCTACCTCTGTGGACATTCTGCAGGAGCTCACCTGGCCGCCATGGTGCTCCTTGCCAATTGGACCAAGCATGGTGTCACACCCAACCTCCAAGGTTTCTCAATGTTTGTCAAAACAGGATCTCAGGTTGCCCAGGCTGGCATCCAACCATTAAGGTTTCTGTAGGTACAGGGTCTAGCCAGGCAGCTCTTCCCCTCTCTAGAGGGGTGGAGGGTTGAGTAGCTGGTTGGAAGGCTGGTGACTTGGGTGCTGACCTAGAGGGTGGGTAGGTCCATCTTGCTGGGCCTGACCCCTGGCCTGAGCTCCTCACCTTCACAGGCTTTCTCCTGGTGAGTGGAATCTATGACCTGGAGCCCATCATATCTACGTCCCAGAATGCCCCTCTGCACATGACCCTGTGAGTTGTCGGCCTCTCTCCATTTCCAGCCCTCACCTGAGGCCTGTCTCCCCTCTGCCCTGACTCCTCCACTCTCCCTCCCCCAGGGAAGACGCTCAGAGAAACAGCCCACAGCGATGCTTGGAGATGGCCCCAGCGAGGCCTGTGGGTCCATCCTGTTCTGTGCTAGTGGTTGTGGGTCAGCATGATTCCCCGGAATTCCACCGACAGTCCAGGAAGTTCTATGAGGTACTGCCAATGGCTTGGTTATGACACCTGGTTGAGGGTCATGTGATCTCGTCTTCCTTGTTATTGGGCCCCGAGCTGGGCTTGGTGGTGCACACACTATCCCAATTACTCTGGAGGCTGAGGCAAGAGGACCGTGAGGTCAGGGTGTGCTGTAAAGTGATCCCAAGGCCAGCCTAAGTAACTTGTTCCAAAATTTAAAAGGAAAGGAAACATGTCACCTGGTGGTAGTGTACTTTCTAAGCATGAGGAAGGCCTTGGTATAGTCCTCAGGACTGTAATAAATAGAGATATTCTGTCTAACTGGACTCCGGGACAGTCAGTCATTCAACAGATGGATTCAGATGAACCTGCCATCACTGAACACTGAGAGTCCTACCTCCCCCAGGCACACTCTTATGTCTGCTCCTCATTCCTGTTCAGACACTGCGCCGAGTAGGGTGGAAGGCCTCTTTCCAGCAGCTGCGTGGTGTGGATCACTTTGACATCATAGAGAACCTGACCCGAGAGGATGACGTACTCACCCAGGTGGGGCTCAACCCTTCCCTCAGCACAGCCCTCCTAAGGCGGAGAGTGTGGATCCCATTGCCCTAACAGAGGACGGCTATGTGGAGGGGCTGGCTTACCTCGGCATCCAGAAGGTTGAGGCCCCTGGCCCCCGACACAGGAGGCAAATGCATCCCGGGCTTTCTGTAGGCCACTTTCTCTCCACAGTGTGGAGGGATCTGCCGTGTGGGAACTATACATGGCCGTGGCCAGGGCAGCAAGGGCACAGGAAAACCACTGACCGGTGTCTAGGTGCCGAAGTGAAAGCAGCCTCACAGAAGGGCCGGTGCAGGTGGCTAGTGTTTATCACAGCCTTCGGTTTGTGTCTGAGACAGTGCCCACTGTGTAGCCCTGCTGGACTGGGGCCTCCTATGCAGATCAGGCTGCCCTCAACACTTGCGGTGATCCTTCTGCCTCGGTCTCCTGTACACTGAGATTTGAGGAGTGTAGAAGCCTATCAGCCTTATTACAGCTTGGACACAGAGAACAGCAGAAACAGTTTAGAGGGGCCAGCAACGTGGCTCACTGGGCAAAGAAAAAGATCCTTGCTGTCATGCCTGAGAACTTCAGTCCGATCCCTGGGACCCACGTGGTGGAAGGAGAGAACCAACTCTTACAAGTTGTCCTCTGACCTCCACCTGTGTTCCATGGTGTGTGAACATACAATAAATAAATAGTTCTCTTTAAAAGTCAAAGGGTAAGTCGGGCGGTGGTGGCGCACGCCTTTAATCCCAGGACTCAGGGAGGCAGAGGCAGGCGGATCTCTGTGAGCTTGAGGTCAGCCTGGTCTACACAGAGAGACCCTGTCTCAAAAAACCAAAACCACGCCGGGCGGTGGTGGCGCACGCCTTTAATCCCAGCACTTGGGAGGCAGAGCCAGGCGGATCGCTGTGAGTTCGAGGCCAGCCTGGGCTACCAAGTGAGTTCCAGGAAAGGCGCAAAGCTACACAGAGAAACCCTGTCTCGAAAAACCAAAAAAAAAAAAAAAAAAAAAAAAAAACCAAAACCAAACAAACATAAAAAGGCAAAAAGTAAACAGAAAATTGTTGCCACGATTCTGATGGGCAATAATCTTTCTTTTTTTCTTTTCTCCCTTTGGTAGTAGGGGATGGGGCTGACTAGCTTGGTTTTATTTTGTGTATCTGGGATTGAACCTGTGCGTGTGTACACATATAGTATGTGTGCTGTATATATGTGCATGCTTACGTGTGTGTGTGTGTGTGTGTGTGTGTGTGTGTGTGTGTGTAGAGGTCAGAAATTGACATGAGATATCTTCCTTGGTTATTCTACTTATTTTTTGAGGCAGGGCATCTCACTGAACCTAGAGCTCATTGATTTTGCCTGGCTTGGTGGCCAGTGAGGTCTAGGAACCCAGCTGTCTCTGCCACTCTGCCCAGCACTGAGGTCACACGTGCACACTGCACCAGCCTTTTATGTGGGTGCTGGGACCCTGAATTCAGGTCCTCATACTTGCTTGTCACATACTTCACCAGCTGAGCTGCCTCTTAGTCCCTACTTTTAAATTTTGAGACAGGATCGTTCTAAATAGCCTAGATAGACTTTTGTTTTGCTTTTTTGATTTAGGTTTTTCTTGAGGCAGGGTTTCTTTCTGTCACCCTGTCTGTCTTGGAACTCAATATGTAGACCAGACTGGCCTTGAACTCAGAAATCCACCTGCCTCTGCATGCTGAGTGCTGGGATTAAAGGTGTGTGCACCACCACCACCCGGCTAGCTTTGACCTTTTTTTGGTTTTTGTTTTTGTTTTTGAGACAGAGTTTCTCTGTGTAGTTTTGGTACCTGTCCTGGAACTTGCTCTGTAGACCATCTTTTTGTTTGGTTTGTCTATTTATTTTAAGACAGGGTCTCACTGTGTAGCCTCGCTGGCCTGGAATCGGAGATCCTCCTGCCTCTACTCCCAAGTGCTGGGATCAAAGGTTTGTACCACCACTCCCGGCACCCACAGATGCTCTTCAGTCGGGTAGCCATCCAGCCCTGGACTTTCTCATCTTCTCTTCTTACTGCAGATCATTTTGAAAACAATCTTCCCGACCCTCTGAGGACACCTGGTCTCTAGCCTGTGTGTACCTCAGAAAACCTCCAGAAAAGAGGTGACTGCCACCTAATGCTGGCTTGTCCATCCACTGGGACATTTTCCCTGCTCTGAACACAGCCTCCATGTCATTCTTCTCCCCACCTGGATGGAGCTCCGGGGAGAGCCTGCAGATTGGCACTGGGATATGCACACAGCCACCATCTGGCCAAGTCTGCCTGCCTCCTGCTGACAGGGCATGACACCGGCCTCTGGCCGGCTTTCTGTGCCGTTTTGCAGCATCAGTGTGGACTGGCTGGGACTGGGGCTATTACTCAGCTCCTGTCTTGCACCACAGAAGAGGGCGGAGTCGGGAGGGAATGAAGAATGAAAGAGACCAACCAACTGCCGGGGGTGCAGCTCAAGGGTAGATGCTTGACCAATGTGTATAGGATCCTGGATTCAATCCCTGGTATTAACAAGGAAATAATAAAGGAAAGAAAAAAAAAAAAAGACAGAGATAAAGGTCATGCCTGGTGTGGTGGTGTACACCTGAATCCCAACACGGAAGCAGGAGGGTTGCTTTTAGTTCAAGTCCAGCCTGAGCTGCATAGCAAGACCGTGTCTAAGTAAGAAAAAGAGCTGATGAGATAGTGCAGCAGGTCCGAGGGCCTGGCACCAAGTCTGACAACCTGTGTTTGGTCCTGGGGACCCATATGGAAGGAAACAACCAGCTCCCCAAACTCTCCTTTGACTGTCATGTCTACGTGTGCCTTAGCGTGCACACCTACACATGCACGATGGTGATGATGTGACGATGGTAATAAGAGCCCAGGCTTGTGCCTGCTGTACAGACGAACACAAGGATTTACTTAGGACTGCAGCATCCCAGGGAGGCCACCTGCACAAAGACAGTTGTGTGACAGACTCCACCAGACCTAACTCCTGCAGTACACCCCGCAGCCGCTGGGCCTTCCAAAGCAGCTCATGTGGGCATTCCTACTTCATTTTCAAAGCTTCCCCCAAACTGGGCATGATGAGGCATGTCAGGAGCCATAAAGGCAGGAGGGCCTTTGGACCTAGAAAGGGCTCTTAGCACACATTTAATTTATACTCTGGTTCTCTCTGTCAAGTTTGCTTTTATGTTGCTGTGATAAACACCATGACCAAAAGCAATTTGGGAAGGAAAGGGTTTATTTCCTCTTACACTTAATGGTCTGTCATTGAAGGAAGCCATGGCAGGCACTGGGAGCAGAAATGACCAGAGGAAGGCTGCTTACTCTCTTGCTCCCAGGCTCATGTTCATCTGCCTTTGGTATACAGTCCGTACGCACTAGGAATGATACTGCCCACGGTGGTCTGGACCCTCTTCTATGCGTCAGCAATGAAGACAGAATCCTACAGACATGTCAACAGACTACTCTGATGGAGGTAATTCCTCAACCGAGTTTCTCTACCCAGGTGTGTGTCTAGTGTGAAGTTGACAGCTGACACTAACTATGGCATCTTGCATCCTGATGGTTGTGAGAAACAGTAAACTCACACTCCCATGTCATCGCCTTTTTCACCCTTTTCTGCCAAATCAGAGGCTCATGCAGAGTGGAGCATCTGCCTGCTCCTTTTCTCAAAATTATTCCCTTATGTGAGCCATTTCTGGACAGACAAGCTAAGCCTCAGTGCTTCCCCCCGCCCTCCCCAACCTCCTGGGACAGGGTTTCTCTGTATAGCCTTGGCTGTCCTGGAACTCACAGAGATCCGCCTGCCTCTGCCTCCGAGTGCTGGGATTAAAGGTGTGCGCCACCATGGCCCGGCGCCTCAGTTGCTTTTTATCACCCACTGGGGGCCATGCACCCAGCTCCCCCCCCATTGACTATCAGTTCTGTTTGTCCTTGTTCAGGCATCATTGTATCACATGACTTTTCCTGAGGTGATATGAACAGATACCCCCTCACCTCAAAAAGGGCACCAACAACAGACCAAAGAAATGATTCCCCCAAGTCTAGGGACCCACTGAGTTTACTGGGGTTCCCGGCAGGAGCATAGCTGGCTCTAAGGCGGCTGTGTCCCTGAGAAACCCTTGCAGCAGAGGTGGGGACCCAGAACTTTACCCCTGGGGCTACTGCATGTGGTTAGGTCCGCTCTCAGAGCTTATGTACCGCTTCAATAAGCTTGGAGCCAGGCCTTGAGCTCCTGTATGGTTCTTTTAAGCTGAGCCTTGTGGGGTCCACAAATCTTTCCCCACCCCCACACACATGGGAGTGCATGCCTGTAATCCCTCCACTGGGGAGCCTGAGGCGTCACATGAGTCACGTGAGCACTGCCAGTTTGAAGCCGGCCTGGGCTACATAGTGAACTGCCTGACATAGGTTCTGGGAATGGAATGACCCTGGAAGAGCAGGAAGTACTCTCAACTGAGTCATCTCTCCGGCCACCAGGCCTGGCTTTCTGAGCATCTTTAAGGTAGGTTGGGTTAAGCTGGGACGCTGGGGAGGTCAGACCTATTAAATGCATCTTTGACTTGGGATAATTTCAGTTCACAGTGGGTTTATTGGAAAAGACCCCATCCTAAGTCACCGAGCACATGAACATCCAAGTGACACCTACTACGAGGCCACTGGAGGATCTTCATGTACCACATAGAAAATCAAGATAATGCTGGGTGGTGGCGGTGCATTCCTTTAATCTCAGCACTTGGGAGGTAGAGGCAGGCAGATCTTTGTGAGTTTGAGGCCAGCCTGATCTATAGAGCAAGTTCAGGACAGTCAGTTGGGCTACACAGAGGAAATCCTGTCTTGAAAAACCAAGTGGGGAGGGGAAGAAAAAAGAAAATCAAGATACAGTCTTAGTGACAGAAAGTAGATATTCAACTATGTGATGCAGCATGGTCTCAGAATGTCATATATGAGGCCACAACTTCCATGGGCTTCTATTTGGTCTGTCTGTCTGCCTGCCTATTCCTGGCTGGCCTGGGACTCACTGAGGCCAGCTTGTCTCTGCTTCCCTGGGTTTCCGTGTGTGCACAGAACAAAGAATAGAAAGGGAAAACTCTAGAAAGATCCACACAAGATTCTGTGCTCTATGGAGGGTGTGGTGCCAGGGAGACATGGAGGGGTGTTTGCTCTGTCTGGATTCTCTGACTCTTTTTTTTTTTTTTTTTTTTGGTTTTTCGAGACAGGGTTTCTCTGTAGCTTTGCGCCTTTCCTGGGACTCACTTGGTAGCCCAGGCTGGCCTCGAACTCACAGAGATCCGCCTGGCCCTGCCTCCCAAGTGCTGGGATTAAAGGTGTGCGCCACCAGCACCCGGCTGATTCTCTGACTCTTTACAGTAAGTGTTGAAAGAGGACTGAGGACTTCAGTGTGGGAATGTTGTGGTTGTGACCAGAATCCACTCTGGAGTTGCAAGGAAGGTGACTCACAAACCCCAGGGCCTCCCTGAATTCTGTAACGCATTCCTGGGTATCGCTTACCTGGGCTGGGCTGAGAGTTGCTCCCTAGGCTGTACCCTAAGCCAGGCAAGAGAAAACATAAGTGAATACATAAACATTTATGTAGGTATACGATATGCTATACATAAAACACAGTATAGAGAGAAGGCCTGGGAGGGTGTTTGCCAGTAATCCAGCAGACAGGCAGAGGCAGGAGGAGTGTAGTAAGTTCAACATGGTGAGTTTTAGTCTGTTCAGGGCTCCCTAGCGAGACTCAAAACTCCGAGAAGGGCCATCAAGATGGCTGAGGGGTAAAAGCGCTTGCTGAACAAGCCTGACCGTTTGAGCCCCATCCCTGGATACCAAGGTAGAAGGAGAGAATCAACTCTCAAAAATTGTCCTCTGACTTCCACACGGGTGCCACGGTATGAATACACATACACACACACATACACACACACACACACACACATACACACACAAATAATAATTTTTAAATATTAAAGATAACTACTTTTAAAACTTAAAAAGTTATCCCCCCCCCCCACCAAAAGAAGTTATTGGGTTAAAAGAAGTCATCAGCCTGTGGGACTGACCGAAGGCCTCATCTTCTGCACAGGACAGTAGAGACCTTGTCCTTTGTCTCCAGCAACTTCTGTTACCACAGGCAAGGCAGTGGATTATCTTGCTTTGTTTCTTTTTCTTTGGGTTTTAATGAAATTGTTTAATAGACTGAAGGATTTACCATGACTTGGTCTCCTTACTTTGAAAGTGGTGGAGAGTTGGCCCAATAACTAGGCCTCTATATGGCAATGGTCTTTTCCTGGTTCCCCAGTGGCCCAGTGGCCCCAGACTACAGAAGGTGGTTCTGGAGACCCGGAGCTCCTGCCCTGGCCACTGGCCCTTCGTGTGCATTTGGGGATCTTGGGGGTTTTTGTTGTTTGAAAGCTTTGGGTTTTTAGCGATGGGGCCCTATTGAATATCTCTCTGACTGCCTGGGAAGCCAGGGCCTGCCTTGGGTCTCTCTGGTTGCCTAGCATCCAGTAACTGCTCATAGATTAACTCCAGGATCTGATTTCACCTGGACTCAGGAACCTTCCAGATTTTTCCCAGTAGCTCTGAGTCTGTACTTACCCGTCAAATAACCTGCCTAGAGCAGGAACAGAGGAGTCAACAGACAGGGCTGTGGAGACTAGACCCATTATATAATTGACTTTAGCTGACAAAGGCCGGGCAGCTTGGAGCTGGTTACTGAATAATCAGGCTGGGGTGGGAATGCCTGGTCAGACCTTGAACATCACAAACTTTTTCACAGTTCTTTCACTGACACATTTCCCAGAGGGGTCAAGACTTCGACAACAGCAACAAAAAACCAAACAGGCCAGACAGTGGTGGTGCGCGCCTTTAGTCCCAACACTCAGGAGGCAGAGGCAGGCGGGTCTCTGAGTCTGAGGCCAGCCTGGTCTACACAGTGAGTTCCAGGACAACCAGAGAAATCCTGTCTCGAAAAACAAAACAAAACCCAAAAATCATCTTGGAATAGGGCTGGAGCCACGACTCAGTGGTGAAGAGCACTTGCTCAGTTCAGTTTCAGAACCTCCATGGCAGCTCACAACTAACTCCTGTTCCGGGGGGCGACGCCCTCTTCTGGCCTCTGTGGGCACTGCATGCATACATGGAGGCAAAACACTCATAGGTCTTAAAAAAAAGGAGGGTGAAGGACGGGCAAGCCGGGCTAAAAAGAGGAGCTTATCTGTGGAAGAGTTAAGGAAGCCAGGCTGTGGTGGTGCATGAATCCAGCACTCAGTAGGCAGAGTCAGGTATATCTCTAAGTTTGAGGCCAACTTGGTCTACAAAAAAAAAAAAAAAAAAATGTTAATGAGCATCTTTTGGGAAGTTAATACGCCTCTCAGCAGTTACACTCTCAGGTAAGCAAAGATCCAAACGCTTTGACCTCACAGTGTTGTGACACTGTGTGGTGTTTTTAGAGAACGGGGACTCTCGGGACATCAAACAAAGTGGCCTGACTGACTGCGCCAACACGACCTTGCCCTTTCCTCTGACCCCTTTGACCCTTTGTTAATTTCTCTGTTTTCCTTCCCTAGCTCCGTTTCACAAAATTCCTCATAATTTTCTTATGATTAAGCTGAGAAATAAATCCAGTCTGCCAGCTTCTTACCCGACTCAGAATGGTGGTTACTGGCAAAAATGAATAAAATTTATCACGTAACAGTAAAATTGCACATGGCAAATGCTGTGGAAAATCTTTGTGCACTGTGAATATGTATTGTTCTCATTGTTAATAAAAAGCTGATTGGCCGATGGCTAGGCAGGATTTTCGGGGCAGAGAGAATGCTGGGAAGAAGGGCAGAGTCAGAGGAGTCGCCGGCTAGATGGAAAGGAAGCAGAACGTTCAGGAGAGGTAACAGCCACCACCAGCCTTGGGGCAGCACATAGATTAATAGAAATGGGTTAATTTAAGTTGTAAGAGCTAATTAGTAATAAGCCTGAGCTAGCAGCCGAGCATTTATCATAAACAGTAAGTCTCTGAGTGGTTATTTGGGAAGCAGCTGGTAGAACAGAGCTGATCCAGGTCCCAATGAAAAACTCCATCTACAGGCAAATGTTTTGCTAAAATAAAAAAAATTAAAGAAATTTAGACTGTTATGCTAAAAATACTTGACTCAGGGCTGGGGAGATGGCTCAGTGAGTGAGAGCAATCACTGTGTTCTTATCTGAGTTTGAATCCCCAGCACACATGTTAAAGGCCGGGGATGGCCATGTGTGTATCTGTAAGCCCAGCACTGTGGGGTGTAGAGGTGTAGAGACAGGAGGATCATTGGGGCTGCCTGGCTGCCAGCCCAGCTCCAGGTTCAGTGAGAGACTTTGTCTCAAGGGGCTAAGATGGAGAGTGACAGAGCAGGACACTCATTGTACTCCTCTGGCCTCCACATGTGTGTTTAGGAGTGTGTGCATATGTGTGCATACACCTCTCTCTCACGCACACACATAATCAAAAACAAATCCCACATACAAGCACACACCCTTGACTCGGCCTCAGAGGATAGCTCCATTAGTGGAGTGCTTGCCTAGCTTGCATGAGGCCCTGTGTCCAGTCCCAGCAGTGCGTAGCCCAGGTGAGGTGGTAGAATCGGGAGTTTAGTTATATTGTGAGTTCAAGGTCAGCCTGGGCTGACTAGGATTTTTTTCTCTTTGTTTAACTCCAGTTGGGTGTGGTATTGAAGGCCTGTAATTGTAGCACTAGGGAGGCTGAGGCAAGAAAACAGAATTGAGCCTAGACCACACGCCTAGACTACTTAGACCACACAGCCCAGACCACACAGAACACCTCTGTCTCAACCTGCCCTTCCCCAACCAAAGATAAAGAATGAGGGGAAAGCCGATGCTCTGTGAACTAAATCAATAATATTATTAACTACAACAAGATTTTACGTAAAATGAGGAGTCAGTGTCCAATGGGACAGTTTCAACCGAGAGTAAAACACCTTCAGGAGACAGCAACAACATTGTCAGTGTGTTTGGTGCCTCGACCTGTGCTTCAAGTATTTCTGAAATATTACATACAATTTACTATATAAAATTCTCTTGTCAGCCAGATGTGGTGGTGGTGCACGCCTTTAATCTCAGCACTAGGGAGGCAAAGACAGGCAGATCTCTGTGAGTTCGAAACCAGCCTGGTCTACAAAGTGAGATCCAGGACAGCCAGAGATGTAACACAGAGCAACGCTGTCTCTAAAAACCAAAAGAAAACAAACAAAAAACCCAAAACCCAACAACCAGAACAACAAAACTAAACTAAACTAAAGCAAAACTCTCTCACATATACACAGAAGAAAAGCCTGATCAAGGAGAAAAAGATTCAAGGGCTGGAAACATGGTTCAGTGGTTTAAGAGCACGTACTACTGCTTTTCCAGAGAACCTGGTTGAGTGCCCAGCACACACATGGCTCTCAATCATTTGAGAGCCATTTCAGGGAATTCGAATTCTTCTGGCCTTCACAGGCAACAGGCACACAGGTGCTTATGCATACAGATATACAGCCAAAACACTCATACACATATCTCTTTAACAAAAGAAAATTTTAAAAAATGCAGGAGCTAGTGAGCCATCTTTTAAATTTTTTTCCCCAGAAACTTATTTTGAAAATTGCATTTTTTTCATGCCTATCTACTGAATGTCCTCTTGCTAGCAACACACGTGGAGGTCAGAGGACAACTTGCTTGTCGTAGATTGTTTAATTATTTCTTTTGTGATAGAGTCTCACTGTGCAGCTCTGGGTGGCCCAGAATTCAGTACATAGATCAGGCTGGCCTCACCAACATGTTCCCATCCTACCTCCATGTCTTCTTTTTTGAGACAGGGTCTCATGGTGTAGCCCTGGCTGGTCCAGAGTTCACTATGTAGACAGCTGGCTTCAAACTCACAGAGATCTCTCTGCCTCTGCCTCCTGGGTGCACAGTGACATGCCTGGCCACCATGTCTTTTTTTTTTTCCTCCTCTGAGTCCAGTAAGTACTGCCCACCGGAATGTTGACTGATCTTGTTGCCTGGCTTTTTACCAGACCATGAATGTTATTTTGTAATGGAGAAGTGAGTTCCTGAAAGTTGATGTTTAACATGAATATTTTATGATCCTAAAGCTGGCTGTATCATCAAATATTGACTGGAATTGGGATCCCTTGTCAATTTCTTGAAAATCCAGAGTTCACACAGAAACATAAATGTTTCTTTAGAAAATCTACAGCCCAGCTGGGTGGTGGTGCACGCCTTTAATCCCAGCACTTGAGAGGCAGTGGCAGGTGGATCTCTGAGTTTGAGATCAGCCTGGTCTACAGAGCAAATTCCAGGACAGCCAGGGCTACACAGACAAACCTGTAGACATTTTTTTTTTTGGAAGTTCCAGGACAGCCAAGACTACACAGAGAAACCTGTAGATGGATTTTTCTTTGGGCCACCAGCTCACAAAAAATGACATGGAGACTTATTTTAATTATAAAAGCTCGGCCTATAGCTTAGGCTTGTCCCACTAGTTCTTTTTTGTTTTGTTTTTGTTTTTGTTTTTGAAGACAGGGTTTCTCTGTGTAGCTTTGTGCCTTTCCTAGATCTTGCTGGCTGGCCTTGAACTCACAAAGATCCACCTGCCTCTGCCTCCCGAGTGCTGGGATCAAAGGCATGCACCACCACTGCCTGGCCCACTAGCTCTTATAACTTAAATTAACCCATTTCTATTCATCTACATGCTGCAATGTGGCTTATGGCTTTTACCTCTCCTCCTGCATGTCTTGCTTCCTTTGCACCTGACTGGCAACTCAGTCTTTCTTCTTCCCAGAGCTCCCTCTGTCTAGAAGTCCCTGCTCTACCTCCTGCTTAGCTATTAGCCATTTAGCTTTTTATTAAACCAATCACAGTGCCATCTCTTTAAACAATATAACCAAATATCTTGCAACAGAAATCCTGTCTTCAAAAACAAAAACAAACAAAAAAATTAACAGCCCAAGTGTCTAGATTTGAGTGGCATATACTTTGGGAAGGACAGAGCTCTGTCCTTGCCCCAAAACCTTTTACCCTGAAACCTTTTACCCTTGTCTCACACCTGCTGGGCCCCGTAAGTGTTAAGATCCCAGCCAAGGCTGAGCAGTGAAGGAGAGCCAGGACAAAGGATCCAGCACTTAGAAGCCAAAGCAGAAAAAATAAAAAGCCATAAAACAAAGAACCTACTGTCTTAGTCAGGGCTACTATTACTATGATGAAACTCCATAGTCTGTCACTGAAGGAAGTCTGGACAGGAACTCAAACAGGAACCTGGAGGCAGGAGCTGATGCAGAGAACATGGAGGGGTGCTGCTTACTGGCTTGCTCTCCATGGCTTGCTTGGCCTGCTTTCTTTTTTTGTTTGTTTGTTTGTTTGTTTGGGGTTTTTGTTGTTTTGTTTTGTTGTTTTTGAGACAGGGTTTCTCTGTATAGTTTTGGTGCCTGTCCTGGATCTCACACTGTAGACCAGGCTGGCCTCAAACTCACAGAGATCTGCCTGGCTCTGCCTCCCGAGTGCTGAGATTAAAGGCGTGTGTCATCACAACCAACTGGCTTCAGTCTGCTTTCTTTTTTTTTTTTTTTTTTTTTTTTTTGTTTTTGTTTTTCGAGACAGGGTTTCTCTGTGCAGCTTTGCGCCTTTCCTGGGACTCACTTGGTAGCCCAGGCTGGCCTCGAACTCACAGAGATCCGCCTGGCTCTGCCTCCCGAGTGCTGGGATTAAAGGCGTGCGCCACCACCGCCCGGCCAGTCTGCTTTCTTATAGAACTCAGGACCACCAGCCCAGGGATGGCATTGCCCACGATGGGTTGGCCCCACCCACATAAAATCACTAATTTAGAAAATACAGGTTTGCCTACAGCCCAATCTCATGGAGTGCTATGGGATGCCTTTCTTTATGCTGTGAATATGTGTTGCTCTGTTTGGTTGATAAATAAAGCTGCATTGGCCTATGACAGGGCAGGATAAGGCTAGGCGGTACATTCAAACTGAAAACGGGAGGGAAAAGGGTGGAGTAGGGGAAATGCCAGCCTGTAGCCACAGGAGCAACAAGATACAGGAGTAACACCACAGCCACATGGCAAAACATGGATTAATAGAAACGGGTTGAGTTAAGTTATAATAAGAGCTAGCTAACAAGAAGTCTGACACATAGGTCATACAATTTGTAAATAATATAAGCCTCTGTGTATTTACTTGGGACCAATCGGATGCTGGACATGGGTGGGAGAGATTTGTCCCGACCTTGGGGTTCAGCAGGACCGGAGAAACTCCTGGCTACAATGGAGGCATTTTTTCAATCAGGGTTCCTTCTCAGATGACTCTAGCCTGTGTCTAGTTGACATAAAATTAGCCAGCTCACCTACTGTGTTGGTAAATCAAAAGACAAAATCCCTACTGGAACTAACATTGGTCAGAAGAGGAATCTTAGCTGTCCCGTGCAGTTGACGCAAGACGATTTAAGCTGGGAGTCACAGTACATATACTGTTGCTATTTTAAATGTTTTCAAGTCTATTGATATACAGCAGTGCCTGAGACCTTTAAAAATGAATGAAAATGAGGACATGACCTCTCCAAGGTGTGGTTGAGAAAGGTGTCATTGTAGATACAAGGGAACATACAGCCAGAGACATCTGGAAGAGTCCAGATTGAACTTGGCCATAGATGGAGAAAGGGAGAAAGCAAGAGATGAGAGAGGGCAAGGGAGAAGGGGACCATGAGATGAGGTTAAATGGTAGACTAAACTATAAAGTATCAGTGCACTTGTTTACAACGCCAACCAGGACTGTGTTTTGGGACTTGCCCAGCCTGTTGTCCGCTGTGTGAAACTCTTTAGAAGCCACGGCAACCACAGGCGGTGACCGGAACAGAAATACTGTAAAGGGGCCTGCTGCAAAGGGGCCTCATCAGCATCAAGCTCAGCCAGCAGTCATATCGGGGAAGCTGTAACTTTGTTCTGCGCCTGGACTCACTGTGGTGGTGTATGGCCGCTTCTCCTTAGTCTGGGCCAAGCTGATGGTCTCACTGCTATATACGCATTGACTTTCTTTTCCCCTTCTGAGACATATTAGAACCTGGAACTCACTATCATCCTGCCTCAGCCTCTGGGTGCTGTGATTAGAAGATATACACCACCACTTACTACAACAGTCACAGACCTCGCCTCCAACCCACGGTGTCTACAGGAAGGATGGCGGCTGCAGGGAGGAGGGTCTCCCTGTCTTCCTAAGAGTGTCCCCAACCAGCGTGTGAGTGGAATCGAAGCACTTCCGTTCCGATATAAGCTGGGTGGGGGCTGCAGATGTATCCAGCTAGCCAGAGCCTGCAAACCCTGAAGCAGGAAAGTCGGCTGCAGGAAGAAGAGCCCGCAGAGCAAATGGGCACTTGCAGCCGAGAGGCTTAACAGAGGCGCCCTTAGGGCCAACCCGCTATCCTCAGCCACTCCTGCGTCTTCTGGGAGGCAGCTGAAGAGCTGCGGCTATCTGTTCCCAGACACAACGGCAAGGAGGCACCGCCGCAGAGGACACAACTCCCAGCACGCTCCGCGCCGGCCACTCCCAGAAGGCCACGCGCCGATGCTATGGGGCGGGGCTTTCCCGGCTCGCCTAGCGCCGTCCGCACCCAGAAGGCGGCTCAAGACTTGCCAGGGGGCGTGGCTTCAGATGCGGAGGCGGGGCGCTCCCGGCATGCTCTAGGGCACGGCGCCGCCCGCGGGTTTTGAATCACGCTCCCAGGCGTCTTGGCGGCAGCGTCATGGAGGCTCCGGCTCTCCCCGCAACCTGGCAGCTGTATCTCATGGACCACCGTATCTCCACCTTCAAGAACTGGCCGTTCCTGGAGGGCTGCTCCTGCACCCCAGAGCGGGTGAGCCCGCCCCTGCTCGGACTTCAGCGCCCACACGCAGACATTTCCGCCCCAGCTTTAGAGCGACTGCTCCGGGCCTGTGTATTAGTGGTTGGGCCCGGGATCAGAACCCCCCCCAACCCCCTTCGCACTGTTAGCTAAGCTGCTTTGCTCGGCCCAGGACATGAAAAGCCTGCTTTGTTCTCGACGAGGCCACCCCACTTCTCCCCAGCCTTCTGCCTGAACCACTAAGGCTGTTAGCCCCACTGTTGTTAGGCCCGGTAGACACGGCCTCTTTCCATTGTCCCCGACTGATCGCCCCAGCTCTCGACTTCTGGGAACGATAAGGTGCACGCCTTTAATTCCAGCACTCCCGAGGCAGAGCCAGGCGGATCTCTGTGAGTTGGAGGCCAGCCTGGTCTACAGAGTGAGATCCAGGACAGGCACCAAAACTACACGGAGAAACCCTGTCACAAACAAACAAAAACTAGACTGTTGATTCTGCTCACGAGCTGTGCTGTCATTTTCAGATGGCGGAAGCTGGCTTCATCCACTGCCCTACCGAGAATGAGCCTGACTTGGCCCAGTGTTTTTTCTGCTTTAAGGAGTTGGAAGGCTGGGAACCCGATGACAACCCCATGTAAGTCCCTGCAGGCTACTCTCAGTGGGTTTTCTGGTGCCCTAGTTCTATTGGGAGCCTTTTGGGTTGAACTGGAGTTGGGAAAAACCATTTGCAGTTAGTAGAAAAGCATGGCCTTCCTAACTTGGTATGTGTTCCAGGCTGTCCTTGAACCTGTTATATAGCTCAGACTGGTCTTGAATTCTCAATTTCTTCCTCAGTTTCCCTAGTGCTGCCAACTCGCATGGTTTTGCCTGAGGTATTTGTTTTGATTTTTGCTTTTTGAGGTGGGTTTCTCTATGTAGCTCTGGTTGTCCAGGGACTCCCTCTATAGACCAGGCTGGCCTCAAACTCAGAGATTTGCATGCCTCTACCTGCATGCTGGGATTAAAGGCCTATGCCACCAACGCCTGGCCTGCCTGAGAGTTTTTTAAGATTCGTTTGTTTGTTTTTGGTGAGTGTGCACATGTGAGTCTTCATTTCTGCCTTTGGTGTAGGTGTCAGATCCCTAGGAGCTGGAGTTACAGTCAGTTGGGAGATTCCTGATGTGGGTGCTGGGAACTGAAGTCAAGTTCTGTGGAAGAGCAGCAAGGACTCCTAACCACTATCACATCTCTAGCTATAGATTTTTTTTTATGTTATTATTATTTATGTTTTATTTTGTGTATGTTTGAGTGTGGGTGTCAGGACAACTTCGGGGAGTCACTTCTTTCCTGCTGTGTGGATCCCTGGGATTGAACTCAGGTGAGCAGGTTTGGCAGCAAACATCCTCACCTGAGCCATTTTGGTGGCCCAGATTTTAAAAGGATTTGACGTGCAATTCCTCTGAGTTTATTTTATTTTTAAATTTCTGTGTATGGATGTTTCACCTGCATGTATATCTGTGTACCATGTGCATGCCTGGTACCTTCAGAGGACATCAAATCCCCTGGAACTGGAGTTACAGATGGTGGGAGCCGCCCTGTGGGTGCTGAAGGGGACTCCCACACAGCCCGGATTAAGCACAAACTACACCCAAACACCTGTTTTCACAGAGAGCTCCTTTATTAAGTGGGGAAGAAAAGTTAGAGTTGCTGCTTTCTGACTCAGGCAGAAAACAGCAGCAAATGACCTTGAAGGTGTCATTTTTAGGAGGAGACGAAGGGGAGGTCTGTTAGAATGGGCTGGGATGTGGTAAAGGAGATAGTCATCGAAGGGGAAGGGGCAGGGGGATTTGTCCTGGGGGGACAAAGGAGACAGATGTGACGCCTAGGCAAACAGCCTTTATAAAGGTAAAAGGGGAAACGCTGTGTTAGAGTGAGGTGTTTAATTTTGATTGGACATGTTAATTAGGTGAGCCAAAGTGGGTTTTGATAGCTGGACGTTGGTAGTCAGCCTCAGGAGGAGGAAGTGGCCAAATAAGGGACTAGACCTTGGTAGCTAGCTTTAGGAATGCAATCTAATGGTTTTTAGCAAGGCAGAGGGGATGGCAGAGAAGGGCAAGACCTGCCAGAGCCGTGTTTGCCAGCCCAAGCCGGCCAGAGTCCCTTCAGATGCTGGGATCCAAACCCAGGTCCTGGGAGACCATCCAGTGCTATTCACCACTGAGCCATCTCTCCAACTCTTCTGAGTTTAAATCACACAACCTTCCCTAGTGATGCTAAAGGACTCCAGAAAAAGGCTGGGCAGTGGTGGCGCACGCCTTTAATCCCACACTCGGGAGGCAGAGCCAGGCGGATCTTTGTGAGTTCGAGGCCAGCCTGGTCTACAGAGCGAGATCCAGGAAAGGCGCAAAAGCTACACAGAGAAACCCTGTCTCGAAAAACCAAAAAAAAAAAAAAAAAAAAAAAAAAAGGACTCCAGAAAAATAGTCTAGCCTTGAGGAAGACGCAGCAGAGGGAGCTAGGCTGTGGGGGGGGGGTTGCTGGGGTACATTGTGGACCTAATGCCTTGCTCTTGATGCCCAGCAGGGTGTGCCCAGGGCAGCTGTGGTGAGGAGAGATGGGCTGCCAGTGATGAGCAGCCACTGGCTCTTTTGACGTGTTGGTTTATTGATTTTTCTAGAGAGGAGCATAAGAAGCACTCGCCTGGGTGTGCCTTCCTTACTGTCAAGAAGCAGTTTGAAGAACTAACCCTCAGTGAATTTTTGAAACTGGACAAAGAAAGAGCCAAGAACAAAATTGTATGTATAACTGAGAATAAGGACTGAGAGCAAACCCGGCCCCCCAGAGCCCTGGAGGATCTGCCCCAGGATGTGCTCTCAACCCTGGGGGGCGTGTGAAGTTAGAGACAGACAGAACTGACCTGGAGTGTGGTTTTGGTGTTGTGCAGTCAGAAGATCTGTCCCCTCAGGAAATGGTGGGGGTGAGGGTGGGGGTGAGTAGAATCACCTCACCTGGGTGGCAACCATTGTGGGAAGCTCTTGACACAGGCGGGTCCTCCTGGGATGGCAGCAGTGTAGGTAGAGGTTTGGGACCATGTAGTAGAGTGATGGCTGAGAGGGGAAGAAGCAGAGGTCCAGCTGAACTTTGAACTTTGCCTCTTGTCCATTCACATGGAATTAGTTGGGAAGGCAGGTGGCATCATGAGTCCACAAGGAGGTGACTCCCATGCAGCCAAGCATGAAGAGTTAGGTTGGCCAGAGGCCAGAGCTCATAGTAAACGTCGTCTGTCCATGTCAACACCCCACATTTTGTGTGGGTTATTCACTGCTTAGCTGAAGTTCACATTTAACCAGGTAGCCTGTGTTCTTACGTGTTGCACTTGGCAACCTTTTAGGGGAAGATTCTGGGAGGGATTTACTGGCAAAACACTGAGAAGGAGCCAGATGCGCCGCTCTGTCCCTGATGCTCGAAGGCTGACTTCCAGCTGGCCCTGGCCCTACGTAGCTCTGTGCTGCAAGGCAGAGGCTAGGACCTGCTGTCGTGGTTACCAAAGTTTCTCTTCCGCTGTAAGCTCTGTTCCTTGGTGGAGGTTGTTACGAAATAACTGTGATACTAGACACTGAGGATGACAGTTTGCTGTCAGGAGGAGAGGAGGACTGAAGCAGGCGTTGGATCGGAGCATGCTCAGACTCGGGATGGTGAGAGAGGGCGTGTGGGCCTTGCTGCTCAAAGCTCCTATCACATGCTATTCTTTTTGTTACTGATTTTTTTTTTTTGAAGCACAGTTGGTTTTAATAAAGATATTTAATACAAGTTTGGGCACAGAGTCAAGAGAAAGGCACTCAGAAGGAAAGACATACCACCCGGTGATCCTAACTTGGGAACATCTCTCCACACTCAACTTTTTTTTGAGATAAGACTTCACCATGTAGCCCTGGCTGAACTGGGACACTCCCTGTAGACCAGGCTGGCCTCAAACTCAGAGATACCCTGCCTCTGTCTCCCAAGTGCTGGGATTAAAGGCGTGCACTGCCATTTATTTATTTATATTATGTGTTCCTGCAGGCCAGAAGAGGACACCAGATCTCATTACAGATGGGTATGAGCCACCATGTGGTTGCTAGGAATTGAACTCAGGACCTCTGGAAGAGCAGCCAGTGCCCTTAACCATTGAGCCATCTCTCTAGCCCCCAGGGGCTTTTTCTTGTCAATTTAGTATTTTTAAATTAAGTTTGCAGGCCGGGCGGCGGTGGCAGTGGTGGTGGCACACGCCTTTAATCCCAGCACTAGGGAGAGGCAGAGCCAGGCGGATCTCAGTGAGTTCAAGGCCAGCCTGGTCTACAGAGAGAGCTCCAGGACAGACACCAAAACTACACAGAGAAATCCTGTCTTGAAAAACCAAAAAAAACCCAAAAAACCTTAAGTTCTCTTTAATCCTGGCTTGGTGGCATAGGGTACAGTCCTAGGATGCCATCTCAACTAATTTGGTTGGCTGGAGGGGATTATAAGTTAAAGGCTATTCTGGGTGACATGAGTCCCTATTTCTTTTTTCTTTTTTAAAGATTTATTTATTATGTATACAGTGTTCTACCTGCAGGCCAGAAGATCGCCAGATCTCATTAGAGATGGTTTTGAGCCACCATGTGGTTGCTGGGAATTGAACTCAGGACCTCTGGAAAAACAGCCAGTGTTCTTAACTGCTGAGCCATCTCTCCAGCCCCGAGTCCCTATTTCTAAGAAAAGAAAAAAAAAAAAGGAAGTTGGGGTATTTGCTTATTATGCATAAGGCCCTAGGTTCAATTCCAAGCTATACACAAACAATAACTTTGCTTTTAATAATTGTTGTAGTTACTTTGTCACGCTGGTAATGGACGAGGGCCTCACTCTCAATAGGCAGGCCCCTCCTTCTAGGCCACACCTAGCCCCAATGTGTCCATTCACTATTCCAGGCAAAGGAGACCAACAGCAAGCAGAAAGAATTCGAAGAAACGGCCAAGACCGTCCGCCACTCCATTGAGCAGCTGGCTTCTTCTGCTGGGGCGACCTGAACCTGAACGACATGCACATTTAAGCCGTGTGTCCTAGCTTTCCCAGCCCGGGCCTCTTAGCAGTGTCTTAGAGAAAGAAATAACGGTATTTTGAAACTGGATGTCAAATATTATTTTCGTTTTCGCTTGGAAGTGGCTCAGCCTGTGTGCCTACCTCTTCATTTTCTGGCTTTGCTGTGTGGTGACCTGGACTGAGGCGGTGAGGACAGGAGTGGGTGAGGAGGGCAGTGTCCGGGGGCAGGCCCTGAGGGGTGGGGGGTCGTGCAGGTGTTTCTGGTCTTCATGTTTCCATACTGGTAGCTGACGCGTCCTGTGCACTGTAGCTGTGGTTCTGTGTGGTGCTGGCGATTCGTCTGGCCTCCGGTGTGAGTCTGCTACTACAGGGGAATGGAATAAAATACTTGAAAAGTGGACGGCCAGCTCTTCCTGTCTTGGGGAAATGGTTGGTTTTGTTTTGTTTTGTTTTGTTTTTAGGACAGGGCTGAGCTCAGTCCTGCTGCCCCTGCCCAGCAGCACTGAGACATGACGTGTGCTGCTGCACACAGGCGTTTGTCTTATGTTAGGAGGTCATAAGTTCGGGGGTGTTTGAGCTTCAATCCCAGCACAAGCTGCAGACTTGAACAGTAGTAAAAAGGCACTGGGAGTCCAGCCTGACTCACACGGACAGGATTTCCTTTTCCTAATGGAACATCTGCAAGGCAGGTGTGATAGTGTGTCAGCGTGGCAGGTCTAGAATCACCTAGGAGATGGGCCTTTGGGAGATTATTTTGATCACATTAATTGATGCGGGATCCTGGGCTATATAAATGGAGAGCTGAGCATCAGCATTCATCATTGTTCAGTGTCCTGACTCCCCATCATGATGGACTGCACCTTCTACTGTGATCCACAGGACACTCCTCCCTTCAAGTGCTTTTATCAGGACAGTTTATCACACAGCAAGATAAACTGAGACCCCAGGTGAGGTGACAGACCCTGGTAGTCCCAGCACTTTGGAAGTGGAGGCTGAAGGATCAGGAGTTCAAGGTTATCCTAAGCAATACATAGGGAGTTTGAGATCTACCTGGACCATATGACACCCTGCTCAAACACATGGTTATGTGACCCCTCTCCAAGCATATGGGAAAAGCACACCCCACTGTGACTGAAATGGTAGAATTAGGGCAGACTGGGGTACAGATTTCACAGCTGTGTATATTCCATGCAGACCATGCTGGTAAACTGAGGCTCAAGCATCTTTCGCCAGAGTCTGGGTCTGCTCCGTCCCTGTCTGGGTTCCCAGCCTCACTGACTCCAGGAAGATCAGCACAGGAAGTCACTAAGACCTTCAGAACCCAGGAGGGCATAAAGCAGTGTTAGAAATGACAGCCCAGGTGGCCTGCACAGGCTTCCAGCAGCTCTGAATGACCCAGGCTGCAGCTTAACTTCAGGAAGAGCACTGGCAAACCAAACCGGCCATCTCAGTACTAGCCTTTGGTTCTGCAGCAGCCCAGCAAGGCCCAGGCTCAGGCTGAGTCATTTGTAAAGGATTCAGGCCACTGAGTCCTCCACTGCAATGGTGTGCGTATCTGTGTTCACTTAGATGGCTCCTGGGCAGCCATCTCAGGAGTTGCTCTGAACATTTGGGGCCTGACTATCTCCAGAACCACCTAAGACATTCTGGTGGCCCCCCTGAGGGTTTAGGATAGCTCTGTGCAACATTACAAGCTGGGTCTCTGTCTCTCTTCCCACCTTACCACACAGAAATCAGAAAGAGCAGAGGAGTTAGAGGAGAGCAGAACTGACAGCATGGGTGTGAGAGCTCATCGAGACCACGGGCAAGCACCAAGATGGGACATCTGTGCAGAGGCCAGCCTGGCAGCTGGCCAGCTCCACCCCAGTCATGATACTGAGGACCTTCCTGTCTCACACAGGCAAAAATGGTTTCCTGCCCACTGGCTCAGTCTGGGGCTTGTCAGCTTTCACCAGGGAGAGATCAAACAGTCTCAGCCCCCAAAGGACTGTTTGCCTCTTAGTCACCAAAGTGGTGACATTAGTTTGAGTGCATCTGAACTCCTGGTACTGCACCCAGGACCCCATCTCCTGAAGTCAGTTTACAGAATGTCTACTTGCTTTCAAGAAGGTAAAAGGCCAACAAGAGCCTTGGGCAAGTGTGCCGGAGCACCCTGGGTGGCAACATCTGTCATCCAAGCCCCTGTCAGAAGCTAACAGCTGGACCAGCATAGGCAGGTGCACAGGGCAGGAGTGAGGTGTGCATTCTGCTCACTGCAAGTACAGTCTGGTGGAAGAGTCGGGGGACATGGTGCTAGAAACATCTTTCTCACACAAAGCCCTGGCTGGTGGCAGGCTCCCTGGGCAACTGTCTAGACACAGGTCCTCACCTCTCACACCCATGCTGATGGCCCTGCTCTCCTCTAGCTCCTCCAACTCCTCTGCTCTTTATGATTTCTGAGGCCCGCTCAGCAAGTGGAGCCTCAAACACTGTGGGTTCCGCTTGGTTTGGGACCACCTGCTATTCCAGTTACTGCCCCTAGTCATGGTCACATCTCTTAATGAATCCAGCTGAGTGCTTCCTTAGCATGTGTGAACAGAGGATTGGCTGCAGCCTTGTTTGTTCAAGTAAGATGAAAAGCTGTGTGTTTCTGGCCTATGCCCTCCAACTCTGGAGAGCCCTGCATCTGCTGGACTCAGCCAGCTTCATCTTGCATGCTGGGTAGATGACTGGGCCTGTTGGACAGTAATTTGAGGTTCATCTTCTGTGGGAGGATGTTTGCCAGGCTCAGTAAAATGAGCTGTCGAATAGCTGATGCCCAGCTGCTGGGGGGTAATTTAACTGACAGTTCCAACTGCTTCCCCAAACTCAGGCTAGAGGCAATAGCCAGAGTTAGCCTGGAGCAGGAGGCTCATCAGCCAGATGGCTTCCACTAGAAACCGACTCCTGTTCCAGCTGCAAATGTGACCTAGTTAAAGAAAAGAGCCTTGCATACAGCCTTTTCATTACTCAAAATTGTACTGACTTCCCCCAGAAGCCCACCTGTCTTTGACTTCTGTGATGATGGATTATGCTGGCTTTGAAGAGTCCCTGGCAGCCAGAGGTAGGCACACAGCCTGCCTAATATGGCTTACACATTTGATGAGACAACGTGTAATGACAACGTCGTGTAATGACAACATCGTTCTAAAGCAGCACCTCTTCATACTGGGCTTGGTGTCTTTTGGGTCCTACTGGGGAAGCACGCTGGTAGAATTCATTAGAGCCACCCCTCAGGGACCAGTGCCTGCTGCCTAGAAGGCAATCTAATTGGTGGCTTCTGCCGCACAGACTCAGGGTTGAAAATGAAGTGGGTATGGGCTGCTCAGCAGGCCATCTTCCGGCCCTTCAGCTTTAGGGAATTACTGCAGAGATGGTGTGGACGCCTGTTGCGGTCACTTCCCGCAGGGTAGCAGTGGCCTCGGGCGTGGCTGTTGTCCACCCTACCAGCTGCACTAGACCTGCTTGAGCTATAGCAGTAGCATGAACCTTTGCAAACCAGCTCAGGAGCAGGGGGCTCAAGGGAGGGAGGGAGGGAGGACCAGCATGGCAATCCACATTTTCTATAAAAGGAGCACTTGACAGATAGAAAGCATGACTGATTCTTGCTGCTGTTACTTTGTGAGATAACAGCTAGGTGACCTCAAGTTTTCAGGATTCACACTGATTCCTCGGCTGTAATCAGAGTTTGGGGCTGGAAAGTCTCCTTTCTCTCTTTCCTTCTGCCTTGGGAAGGCTGCAGCTCTTGGGAGTACTCATTGGATTCTTATAGTCTTTCCCGATCATTGAGCCACCTGGCTCCAAAGCAGGGGTATCTTCAGGATAGTGCCAGCTGCAGGGGTTGTCACACAGCAGATGTGGACAGGGATGGCCGGGTGTACACGTGGAAAAGGACAGCCACAAAATACTGGGAGGATTCTGTGCACTGTCTGAATTCCACTTGAAATATTGTTTTAATAACTTTGCTAAGATTGCTTTTATCTCGGGACTATATTCCTCAAGCCAAGAAGTGAAGGCTTGGCCGACCTGAGTCACAAAGCTCCTGTGTTCAAGAAAGACCACCTCTGGCCCCTGTCTGCAGGCTCTGTCCACCCCAAGGCAATGATTAGAGGCCCTCTCATTCTCCAGAATGTAACCCAGTCCATCCGGCTTCAGCTGCCTGGCTGAGGCCTCTTTGCCACGCATTTGCCTCTCCTGCTGTTAGCATCCGACTCCTGTCCTTGAGGGGTCTTTGTGTGTCCCATAGGAGTGTGTCCTGTAGGTGAGTGTCCTATAGGTGCATGCCCTGTGAGTGTGTGCCCTGTGAGTGTGCGCCCTGTAGGTGAGTGTCCTATAGGTGCATGCCCTGTGAGTGTGTGCCCTGTAGGTGAGTGTCCTATGGGTGCATGCCCTGTGAGTGTGTGCCCTGTGAGTGTGCGCCCTGTAGGTGAGTGTCCTATAGGTGCATGCCCTGTGAGTGTGTGCTCTGTAGGTACGTGCTCTGTAAATGTCCTGTGAGTGTGTGCCCTGTAGGTACATGCTCTGTAAATGTCCTGTAGGTGTATGCCCTGTAAATGCCCTGTGAGTGTGTGCCCTTTAAGCAAGTTGGCATAGAAACAATGCTTTTTTCCCCTGCTTCAGGGAGCATATCCCATTGATCCTCAGAACTGATGAACACCAGGACCCCAAGCTGAGATGTGTCACACCCTGAGTCTGTCTGTACCAACCCCCCCACCCCACCCCCACACACACCCCTCCATTCTTCTAGGAGCTATTGGAGATTGGTGTGGTGGTCCAGCCACTGGCTGCTGCTGTATATCCTCCTGGGGGCAGTCTCGGACTGACCTCTGTCCTCTTCCCAGCACCACACAACAGGGTGGGCATGCTTGTGTCTACCAGTTTGTGGCAACATTGGGATTTGAACCCAGCTTTACTGTCCCCAGCTCTGCCACGACCTTAGATTTCCCCTTGGTGAACTTGGCCAGTCATGGTGGCAGGAAAGAAAGCAGCGGTAGCTGAAGAACCTAGGGCAGTGCCTCTCCCGCCCCTGCCCCTCCTAGCCAGCCTGCTCCTCGACACCCCTCCCATCCCCTCCTGCTGAGTCTTCCACCTCTCCCACCGCCTAAGCCTTCATTAGCCTGGGTCAGTTCTGTCCGAACCCCGACTGTCCCCAGCCTACAGTTCCCCCGGTCTCCAGCTCCCTGCCGCCCCCTGCAGGCCATCCGTAGCTCTGCTTTCCACTCGACCCTGCATCCCTACCCGGCTGCTGCCTGGCTCTTGCCAGTATGGCCCTTCTGGCCGCCTTGTTCCTGAGCGCAGCCCTGGGCGCCCTGCTCAGCTTCGCGCTGCTGGCAGCTGCGGTCGCCAGCGACTACTGGTACATCCTGGAGGTGGCGAACCCTGGCGGCTCCGGTGGTGCGCAGCAGCTCGCCTCACATTCTGGGCTCTGGCGCACCTGCGAAGGTGAGCTGCACTCCCCCCCACCCCGTCCCCGTCCCCCTCCCCTCCCACCTGGCCCACTTCTATCCCCGCCCTCCTGCCCCATAACTCCCTCCTCCTGAGCCTCTGTGGCATCTTGGTCTGCTCCTCAGGGAGTCTCTTAGTTCCAACCCCATTACAGTCTCCCCTCAAATTGCTGGGTGACAGCGTGCTGTGGAAGGGTGTGAGGAAGGTCAAGGACAGGGTGCTGCCCGTGGCCATGGGTGGGAAGTGGTGCGGGGCTGGCGCTATGCTTCCTTAAGTCCTTAAGAGCTTTGCTGGGGCCTGGCTGGAAAGAGTTCCACTGTCGGGAGGTAACAGGTCAGGTGGACCATGGCTCTGCTCTGTCCTTCTGAAAACTTGACGGTTTGTACCTCCTCAGCCTCTCCAGGTCTAGATGCCTCCATGGAGGTCAGAGGAAGAACCCCGGAGGCTGGGGCCCAGCTGCCAGGGCTCAGTCAGGAGTTACATAGGATCCTAAGGCTATGGCACTTGTGTTACCCAGCCCCCATTTGTACCTTGGCTTTCAGGGAAGAACAGCTGTGTGCCCCTGGTTGACCCGTTTGCCAGTGACAGCTTGGAAGCTTCTCCCTCTATACAGCATCTTCTCTGTGAGTCCCGAGGCAGTGCTATCTCTGACTCTCCTTCAGGCAGGTCTGGGACCAAACCACTCACCCCAGCCCACCAAACTGCTTCTGAGGCCTCAGGGACCCTAAGGGTGTTCCCATCATAGCCCCCTGACCACAGACGCTGGAATACCAGCCTGCCCTGTCCTCCTCATACCTCAGTTCCTTTTCGATGGAGCCTTCCCTTGCCTTTGAGGATGTGAACCAGCTCAGAGCATGACTAAATCTCATGGGGCCCACAAATCCCCCTTTTGGACTGGCCAGTTTTCTAGTTGGATGGCTATAGACAACCTACTGCCCTGAGAGGCCTGAGGGTGGGATGGGGAGGGCACTGGCAGAGCCTCTCACAGCCTGGCCTCAGCAAGCCTGTACCAGAAAGGGGTGGCCACTGGAAGGGTCTCGTGTTTTTACGGAGGTGGGCATCTGCTCAACCCTGCTGGTGACTTGAACAGATGAAGGATCTCTGGCTCCTTAGAGGCACGCCCCTCTTCCTGCCCCGAGCACCCTCTTCCCACAGTGCTGCATCGCACAGTCATGGTAGTCCTGCCTCTGAGCCTCATCCTCATCGTATGTGGCTGGGTCTGCGGCTTGCTCAGCTCCCTGTCCCAGAGTGTCCCTCTGCTGCTCCTCACTGGCTGCTACTTCCTGCTAGGGGGTAAGTCGAGATCCCTTGGAGGATATTGGAACTGCAGATCTTGGGAGTGGGCCTGTGACTCTCATTTACCTTTACCCTGGCCCCTATTCCCCTCTGAACACTGGAGAGCCCCCGCCCTCCAGCAGAGACACCCTAGAGCTGGCTGACGGGCAGGGCTTCTGGCTGGGGCCTGGATGCACAGGAACACCAGGGTGGAGCTTCTTGGCCTGGGAGACTTCAGGGTCTCCATGGTAATTGCAAGACTAGCTCTGTGGGCAGATGGTGCAAGAAGAAGGGTGTGGGACTTGACCCCACCTGCTCCTCTCCCCTTCCAGGTGAGAGGGGTTGAGACAGAGCAGGGCAAGCAGGGGCATATTATCCTTGGCTCTTACTCCCCTAGTCCCAGGCTATGACCAGCCACAGCACCAGGCCAAGAGCTCCCTGGTGGCTCCTCAGGGCCACTTCAGCAGGTTAGACACCCTAGGCTTCCAGAGCCAGAAGGAAACTGATGCTCAGGTCCTCTCGAGTGCTTCTGGTACAGTCTGCTCCGGCCACCCTAGGCGAGCAGTCATCGAAAGTGGGTAGGTGGCCCTGCGGGGTCCGTCCCCAGCAGCCTCTACACTGGGCCAGGTTTGTGCTGGTCTGTTGCTCAGGCCAGTCCTACTCTCATGGCTGTGACTACACTGATGAGATCTCCCAGACAAGCCTGCTTCCCTCCAGGGGACACTGGGCTCTTCAGGAGACCTTTGTTAGGAGTGGGATGGACCTGAGAGAGGGAACCGCAGCCACAAACTAATGAGACAGATGTTCAGACCCAGGTCTCTAGAGAATGAAATCAGGGTAATCAAAATATCTGCTATAGCCTTGACCCAGGAGACTGAGTGCAAAATCCAATTAAGAAGGCACAGGAAGGAAGCTACCGACTGTAATGGGTTGGGATCCTAACTGGGAAACTCCATGGTGACATGGAGCCTCGGCATTTTTCTTCAAGTACAGATACTGGTAGAGGCAGAGACTCAGAAGGCAGCTTCTAGGGGAGGCTGACCACAGCTTTCCTGCCCTCAGAGGGAAAGGAGCTGGGGGACTGGGGTCTCCTGAGTCAGGATATCAGGAGCAGAGGCAGATGGATCTGGAGTTGTCAGCCGAGGCTTCAGGGACCAGCTGGGAGATATGCTGTAAGAGGGCTAAGGCTGGGGGACAGGTCACCATTCCAGGGAGCTGGGTGCTGCAGGTGTGGTGGACGACACCTGTGTTGGCTCCTGGGAATCCTGAGAGTGTGGCCATTCCGCTGTGCTTGCATGCCCACCATATCCCTACCTCTCCCAGAGTACAGTGCATCAGGTTCTGCTTCCCACGCTTCTCCAGACCAAACCTGTGGCTTTTGCTGCAGGCAGTTATAAATCTGCCCACTCCCCCACACACTGCCCAAGGATTAGTGACAGGGGAGTGGAGACCTAAAGTTGGGTCTGCTGGTGACACACGGAGCAATCTTGCTGTCCCTCTCTCCCCAGGTGCCCTGACCCTGGCAGGGGTCAGCATCTACATCAGCTACTCACACCTGGCATTTGTGGAGACTGCCCGCCTGTATGGTGTGCAGCACATGCAGAGTGTGAACATCAGCTTCGGCTGGTCACTGGCCCTGGCCTGGGGCTCCTGTGCCTTGGAGGTGCTCAGTGGTGCCCTCCTGCTCACAGCTGCCCGGTTCCTCAGCCTGAGCCAACGCCCAGGAATGCCCCACTCCGTGATCATCTGAGTCCCAGGTGGCGGGCTGTGCGGAGAAGGAAGGCTCAAGCACTCTTGGCCTTTGCTGGAATCCTGACTAGGAAGGTGCCCTAGGGATGGCATGCTGGGGAAGTGCTCTTTCTACTTCAGCTGGACATGAGAAAGGCAGATGATAGCAGTGTCTCAAGTCATGGCACAGTCTGCTGGGGTGCCTCAGGGTTCTGGGTGCTCAGGGCATGCTCTTGCTCTGGGGGCACAGACCACTCCAACCCTCAGGAGCTGAGACAGTCCCAGTCTGTGCTAGGAACTGCCTGAGTGCATCCTGAGCGCTTCCTTACCTCTCCATCCCCAGTCATCCTATGCCACAGAGAGGGAGACTGAGGCCAGAAAACCCGAGAACAGATGGCAGATCCTGGTGTCACTGCAGTTTGACACCTGGGTTCTGTTTTGTTCCCTCTCCCAAGGGGAGGTTGATGGGGAGAGGCTTGGGGCTGAAGGGAGGGTACAGTCTAGGTTTGTTTTCAAGCCACCACGTGGGTTACTTACTTGAGTGCTTCCAGGCAGGGTGGACCTTCGCATCTCAGTCCGTGTCTTGGTACAGGCTGCTGCCCTGCTGGCCTGGTACTTCCTCTTTAAAGCAACAACCAGGAGGATGTCTGAGACTGGCTGCAGTTGGGGTGAGCTGGGGCCATGCCTGGCCTGCCTCCTGGTTGCCTGGATCTCTACTTCTGCTGGATTTGGCTGCAGGCGTGGATGGGTCAGCTCACAGGCTGCCTGCAGCCTACTCCCTGTTGAGGACAACATAGGTGGGAACTGAATCATATCTGGCCACGTAAGGGGGCAGACCTGTGTTTGCGTGACTGGACAGTGGATGGCTGTTAAGTTAGGGGCTGTGCAGTACCAGAAAGCCCCGAACAGCCCTGATTCTGGTGCAGGCTCTTCCTTCGGGATATGCACTAGGGAAGGTAGTCCTTGTCAAGGTCCCAGTAGTGTCCCCAAGCCACTTTTGATTGCCTCTAAGAATATGGGAAGCTCCTGGGGAGCAGGGGAGTACTTTGTAGGGTTTAATGTGACCTACTGAGGGCAAGGTCTGGAACTGATGGCGACCTCACTTTCAATTTGTGTTCTAATCTTTGCCATTCCATGTAGGAGCACTGCTAAGTGTCTGAATAAATCAGCTGCAATGTATATATTTTCTCTTTCTGCGATGTGTATTATTTTGGGGAGGGGGCACAGGGACAAAGCCTCACTATGTAGGCCTCAACTCATGCTTCCTGCCTCAGCCTCCCTGGTGCTGAGATTTCTGGTATACACCACCAGGGCCAGCCTAGAATTCTTCAAAATAGGTAATACATACTCATTTCTCATGATGTTAGAAGGGTGAACACACACCAGTGTGTGTTTCTGGTTGTCACTGATGTGTGATGTGTGCACTCTGTCATGTCCTGCAGCTACAGCTGCCTTCTTCCTAGCTCCAGAGATGGAGAGGAGTCTCGGGCCTCAGCAGGATCTGGGCTGGCTCACCGGGAGCTGGAGGAAAGTTACATCCTCTCCCTGTCTGGCTTCATGAACATTTGTAGAGGTATCTGTCTGCTGGAAGCCAGTTTGTGAATTCCGGGCCCACTGAGTGTGGGTGGCTTTAGGCTTCCAGGTGACACTGGGGAAGACCCACACAATGGCTGTGAAGACCTCCACAATTGCCTACAGGTATGTGCCTATGCACGTGGGCATGCGGCCAGACATAGGACCTACTGAAGCTAGCTGAGGCCTTTGCGCTGATGGACCAGTCTTCTTAGTAACTGGCCCAAGGGCTTTGTCTTGGTTCATGGTTCACTGGATAGCTGGGCTATGAGACCCAGGTGAAAAGGCAGGCAAGTGCTGCCTGGGGAGGAGTGAGCACTCAGAGCCGATGCGAACGGACAGCAGCTCCAGTGGTACCATGTATCTTACGTGGAGAGAAGAGGGACAAGTGAGGAGCTTGCCCACATAGACAAAAGCCAGCCCCTGTGGCAGCCAGGCCTCACAGGCAGGGGACTCACCTTCCATGTGAGTGTGCCTCAGTTCCTACAGCCAAATGTGGGCCCAGCCAGATGGCCCCACAGCAGCACAGGGCTCACTACCTCTGAACCCACTGTCTGCAAATGCTCTGCTCTCCCCTTTCCTCTGCTATGCCATGGCTGCCTCTGGCCATTTATCCTCTGATGTCACCAGAGCCTCAACCATACGGATTCAGTGTTTCCTAGATGCAGACTTCATCCCAGCCAGCATCCATACATTATAGCAGCAACCTCCAGATGGCTGGAAGACAGTCCCTCCCCTTCAGGTCCTTTTCTGACATACCAAGTCTGGACTGACCTGGGGATACATAGGGAAAAGCAGACAATGCCTCGCAGGTCCTGCCTCAGCCTCTCAGTCACTGGTGCTGGGGGGAGCTAGCTGCACTGGGAGCCAGCTGCACTGGGGCTGGCGTGAGAAGAGGCTTGCCCAGACAGACGGGTATAAGGCCGGGGGTACAGACAAGCCACCATGGAGGCAGATGGCTCACATAGAGCATTCATTGATTAGGAAAGCTCAAACCAAGCTTAAGCTAACCCTTTAGTTCCTAAGACCAGAAACTCTGAGAACTAGTGAGGTATTCCTGCAGGCTGAGGTACCAGCTTGTCGGGGGAAGTTCCTTCCCCAGCACTGGGTTAGTGTATAGTGCCTGTCACCTGAAGGCAGTATGGGAAATCAAAGGAGAAGGCACTGCTTTATGCTCTACCACTACCTCAGGCACAGGAGAAAAGCTCTGGGCCCTGGGGACCCCCAAACACAGCTGGAGTCTTGTGAGGAGTGAGGAGAGACAGTCCCCTGCGGCAGCTCCTGCTCTTCTCCAGGTGTGATCGCTGCAGCCCAAACTCCACCACATCATCCTGCACATCATGGCAGCCTCTTAACCATCTCCACCTGGAACTGGAGTTATGGTTGGGAGCAGCCAAGCCGGTGCTGGGAATCGAACCCAGGTCCTCTGAAGGAGCAGCCAATGCTCATAACTGCTAAACCATCTCTCCAGCTCTAATACTAAAATTACTTTTCATTTTATTTTTTATTTTATGTGTATGAGTGTTTTGTCTGCATGTATGGCTATGTATTATATGCATGCCTGGTGCCAGTGGAGGCCAAAAGAGGGTGTCAGATCCCCTGGGACTGGAGTTACAGATGGTTGAGCCACTGTGTGGGTGCTGGGAGTCAAACCTGTTGCATCTGTCATGTATTTAACCAGGACATAAAGGTAACCAACACAGCTCCTTCAATACTTTATTTTACAGTCCATCTCTGATAACTCTGCCAATCACGTAAGGATCTGTTTGTTTGGAGATAGGGTCTCATGTAGCCCAGACTCGCATCAAACACTGTGTAGCTGAGAATGACCTTGAACTTCTAATCCTCCAGCATGCTAGGATTCCAGATGCGAGTCAACACACCTGTTTATACAATGCTGGGGATTGAACTCAGGACTCTTGCATACCAGGCAGCAGCCATACTACATGTCTCAGCCCTAGGATCTGTTTCCTATATCCATTTCCTTGTCTGTCTGTCTGTCTGTCTGTCTGTCTGTCTCTTTTGGCTTTTCAAGATAGGGTTTCTCTGTGTAACAGTCCTGGCTGTCCTGTAACTCGCTTTGTAGACCAGGCTGGTTTCAAACTCAGAGATCTGCCTGCCTCTGCTTCCCAAGTGCTGGGATTAAAGGCATGCGCCACCCACCGGCCATTTCCTTCTCTTGATGTTCAGCCACATCTTATCCCAGCCTTTGCCTGGTTATTCCTGACTGAATGAGGCCGTCACATGAGAGTTGCTGGAGGAAACCAGAGGCTGAGTGGTGTCATCATCCCCCAGAAGGACCAGCCTTCACCAGGCTAATGGCCTGGGGCCCCTTATTCCCCACTTCAATCCTAGCCAGGGCACAGGGTTCCTGCTCCCCTGACCTCAGGGCATCAACTCTCTCAGTACAAACTCCCACTTCCTCAGCACCAGTTCAGTGTCCTGAGCAGATACGTCTCGGTGCCACACAGTCCGCACAGAGTGTTCTGTCCAGGGAAACAGCAGCACGCTTACGGCACAGCCAGTCCGAGCCACCTCCTCAGCGCTCACAGCCTGGAGGCGCTGGCACAGCTCTGCGGGAGGCAGCCCGGCCACCTGCACCAGCACCATGTTGGTCTCCACGGTGGCAGGATCCACACAGCAAATGGGTGATGCCAGGTCCTGGAGTCCTGGAGCCAGACATGATAGTGAGTATACCCCAACCCCGGGCCAACCACGGGCTCCCACCAGAGCTGCCCCCAGGGAAGGCAGAAGAGCAGCCCAGTGATTATCTTGTGGGCAAGCAGACCCTGAGTCTTGATGTGGCATTTGGGAACATGAGTTGAATCCTGCTTTCTACTTCCCTGGGTCTCAGATGTGGGGACGTCAAAGGACTGTTATGAAAATTTAGAAAATACACAAAAGACCCACATTGGAGGCTCCACGCTGTCTTGGCCCCTGACTCAGCTGGGTGCATCCCTATTTGAGTGCCCCACGGAATACTTTCTTGCCCCTGGTGAGGCAAGAAGACCCAGGTCCCATCCTAGAAGCTTGCTAGAGGCTTGAGGGTGCAGATCTGCTGGGGACCTGGTCCTGCTGCTGGGGACATCCAGGCCCAGATAGTAGGGAGCAAAGGAGAGTGGGGGTGGGGGCTGGTCCAGGCACCTTTAGCGAATCTCTGGGCATTCTCATGGTCCCTTGGCAGTACCTCCTCTGCCTCAGCCAGTCCCACCAGGGCAGCCGCAGCCAGTACTCCAGCCTGGCGCATGCCTCCACCCAGGGCTTTGCGGAGGCGCCAGGCTTCTTCAATGAAGTCCTTGGATCCCCCTACCAGAGCCCCCACCGGGGCACCGAGGCCCTAAGGGAAGAGAGGAGAGGCTCCTGGAGGTGGGGAGGGGTGCGTGCTGCACAGTCCAGGGCCGGCAGGTCTGGCAGGCTTTAGAAGGCCCGGAGCTCAGGGGTCCAACTGTACCCTCAGTGGGGTGCCCACACTGCCCTGTCTCTGGAAGGTCAGCCTACCTTAGAGAAACAGAAGGATACAGAGTCACAGTGCTCCACGAGGCGGGCAGGAGGCACACGCAGAGCCACGGCTGCATTCATCAGCCGCGCCCCATCCAGGTGGACCCGTGCTCCATAGGTGTGGGCCAGGAGGCGCACCTGGGAGCAAATGTCAGGCAAAGGTCAGAGGGGCCAGTGTAGGGAGGGCATCTGGACTTGGCATCATTTTTTTAAAAGATTTTGTAAATTATTATTTTTATTATTAATTAGTCTAGGGTGTGTCTGCACATGGATATGTACATGCGTGCAAACTCCTGTGGAAACCAGAGGCGCTGGAGTCCCCAGGAGCTGGAGTTACAGAACATTGTGAGTTGTCTGGTGTGGGTGCTGGGCATTGAATTCAGGTCTTCTGGAAGAGCGGCAACTGCTTTTAACCACTGAGCCATCTCAAGATTTCTTTTTATTTATGTGTTTGTGTGTGGGTGTATGCCATGGATGGTGGTGTGCCTACTGAGGCCAGAAGAGGGCCCTGGGTCCCCTGAAGCTGCAGTTACAGGTGTTTTGATCCAGCCAAACTCAGGTCTCTGGAAGAGCAGTAACTGTTCTTAACCACTGAGACATCTCTCAGTATTCCCCAGAGCTGGACATCTTGAGGAACCATGAGGGGTCTAGAGTCAGAAGCCTGGTGGCTCTGTCCTGAGAAGTCACCCTGTGCTGCACAAATGTGATTTTTCTGTGCCCAGATAGACCAAGAGCCTGAAGCCAGAGTGATAAACCCCATGCCATTTTCAGCCTAGGACCAACACATTCCCCAATGACAGTCAGACCACTGATGAATACCCATAGTATGTGTCAGAGGGGATTTGTCCCTAGGGATAGGGACTGTTCAGGGGCACAGGAAGTCAAGAGTACGCTGGCATTGGGGCCCGGCTGGGTGGGAGCCTACCTGGCGGAGGTAGTCGATGGGGAGCACCCTGCCCCCGGCACTGCTGTGTGTGTTCTCCAGGCACACAAGCTCGCAGACTGGATGGTAGGAACTCCCGAAGCCCCGAGTAAGTGCCCTCTCTAGCTCATTCAGGTCCAGGGTGCCATGGGGCATGTCTGGGAGGGGGTGGGAATGCACCCCAGCAAT